TGAACGCAGTTTGTCATATGGCATGGAAATTTCATGGCGAATTTGCGGATATTTAACCTGGTGGAAGAGGAATTATGCAGATGCGGAGAAATAGTGACCGCGAGTCAGGTTTTGATGAATTGTCCACTTCAGGAGGCAAATAGGAAAGATCAGGAAGAGGTCTTGGATAGGAAAGGTTTAGAGATGAGAAAATATAACTTGATAAGAGACAAGGAAACTATTAAGACCTTTAGGTAAGTAGCACATAAATAGGAAGAAAAAGGGATACATACAGGCTTTTAAAATTAAAAAAGAAAGAAACAAAAAGAAAAGGAATGAACATTTCTCCAGGAAGGGGAGAGGAAAGGTTATAGTGAATCCCAATGATCCCTATCACTCAGGGTGGTAGGGGGTCGTGCTGTTAGTATTTTAGACGCATAATATAGGGGAGGGGTTTGAACAAATAGTTTGTTTGGACGAGGATTAAACTTGGCCAAAGTCTGAGAAGAAGGAAGATTTTCTTGGCCTGCAAATAATTTGATTGTTGATTAACCTAAATAGAATCTTTTACCGCCTTTCACAAACAAAACTGCAAAAACGGTACGAAAACTGCCAACTCAATTAGACCTTTTACCATCTCCACCTTTAACAACAAAACCAAGAATCTTAAAACGCCAAATAAAAAAATATCAACTCAAATCCGTTCTCTCCCAATAACTTAAGATAAATGTTATGTGTTATAACCTTATTTAGCTACGTGAATCATATCTGTAAAATACTCTACCTATTCGTTTGATGGTCGTTTCCAAATTGCGACTTAAATGTAAACTTTCTCTGTATTATTTGATCAGTGGTCATCATCCGATTTTTTTCCTTTGTATTGTGTTTAGGCCGTGGTTTGATTTTAACAAGCTAGGATTCTTTGTTTTGTTTACATTTACGTCGTTATTTTGTGACCATAATGGCAACCCATAAGACCAATGTTAAAATTAGAAAACTTTGAGTTACTTTTAGATTATGATTATAAATTATATATATAAAAAATTGAAATTGGTTTCGTCAAAACCATCCAAACATTTTACAAAACAACCTTGGTAAGTTTGGCTAAAATAAGTTCAGCTGTTTTTGAGTTGTGTTAAAAAGTTTGCATTGAAGTCGATCCCAAAGAGCTTCGCTTCGCTCCGTTCAATTAATTTATATTTTCAAGAAGACGGCGTCTATTTTAACCTTCAACTTGTATGGTGCTGTACAAGAATGAACTTTGCAGACAAATGTTAAAATGTGAAGGGTTGTCGCGAGGACGCGGTCTACGTCACCGCTGCTGTGGAACACTGTATATAATACAGGTCCGACGCGCTTTCAACACACTTGGAACCAACATAATACCCATATAATTCTTATCAACTCTGGTGTTAAAATATGATTTTAAATAAGTTTACACAGAAAACCATTAATTTGTATAAATATTATGTTTAGTAAGTGGCAAACTGTTTGGAAGAAAACCTTCGAAAATCAAGCAATAGTCGGGAATAATTTTCCTGACTCACCAAAAGTAACACTATTTAAAACATTTAGTGAACCTATCTGTTCTAGATTTGAGGAATGAGTTTATTCTACTCAAGGATAACCTGAAAAGAGATACGGTGGATAAAATTATCTATGAGCGTTGTTGCCATTAATTTAAAGCTTTTAATTTTAGATGGTAGCAATTCACTGGTTGGACCCATTTAACGATAAATCTTCGTTTGATTCATTCAAGCGAGGCCTCGCAGCAATATATGTGAGTTATTGCTGATATTGGGGAGTTAGATCTTTACAACGAGCTATTTCCGGCTGTAGATCGTCCTCAGGTAAATCAGCTGAGATATTCCCGCCAAGTTGCTCCAGGGCCGCGCGGAAATAGCGGCGATGAAACAGCTGTGATAAGACGAGTAATGTTGGTAGCGATGACGTCACACGGAAGGGTTACTGATAAAACATCAAACCTACCTTAGAGTGCATTGATAAGGAGCCTTTTTATTGCCAGAGACAAATAAATATACAGTTAAAATTTACACTTCTTCGACGAGATCCATTCCAATCTTTTACCATGTATGAGAATATATTTTGGAGATAAGATACCAACTGGAGACGGATTACTTTTACTAATTTTATTTCGGATGGTTTATCAAACTAAGCATAGAAGTAATACGAAAAAAAAACTAGTCGATACCAAATCAGCAATCATATTTGAATTATGGATATAAATCACTAAACTACACGGAATATTACTTAAAGTTTTTTTACGTAAAAAGGTCTAAATCTATTCAAGTTGCGAGATAATCTTTTGTTAAATTAGGAACATTTTGTGGAATCCATTTAAGATTTCTTGAAAAAAAACCATTTCCGAGCTGTCCGTTTTTAAATAAGACTAGTAAAGTGCTCGTAGAGAAATATTATGTTTTGCCTATTTATTTAGAAGTCGGTTTTTTTATTGGGAGATTAATAAAAAGATTTTACTTGTGAATATACTCTCAGCAATTTGGAACCCCTTCAAATATTAATGTATGTCAAACCTCTACCTAAACTAGAAGAGGGTTTTAAGTATACAAAACACAGGCATACAGTTGAGGTTTGTATGTGTACAAAAAATATTTATTGGAAATTAGCTGTTACCCACAGGCTTCAACCCGTTTGACTTCACAAGTATTAATAAAACTATTGATTGGTTTAGTTAAGCTGAAATAAACAAAACAGAATGCAGAATTACAAACAAATAACCACACCAGATTTTAATAAAGTAATAAATTGAAAGAATAACATACAAATAAAAACAGCTAAGGTATTTTTTAACATTAAGTATATGAAAAGTTCCCTTTGGAAAGCAATTATGACCTTAAAGGGCAATTTATGAAAAAATGGATATGTTTGCGCAAAGTTTCTCGTCATGACGAACATTTTAAGAGCATATGGGAGTGTGACTTGTAGTTTTCTCAAAAGTTCATGGGTACTTTTGGCTTTATGTATAGATACGAACCTTATTACATTTAAGACTACTTGGAGGGTACAAAAGTGGAAAGGGGAGTTGATTATCTAATTTGAAACTTAACTCTGCATAACTTTCAGAAAAATAACTCAACCACAAAATACCACGTATATATATATACGTGTATATATATAGGTTGTATGTGTACGTTTTATAAAATAATATTGCAATCACAAAAGACGTAATTTTAGTCTTACATTCAAATGTTGATAGGTAAAGTTCTAAGGATTTATTTATGTAGCAATGCATTTTCTTTTCAGCGTTCTCTTTACTATGAAAATTGTGAGTGTTGAAACATAATAATTCATGGGACTATTCACGGTTTATGGACGGTCTACTGGACCAAGAACAGGTAAAACAACACTAACTTCCTTTGGCGCAACTTCAAAGTGCATAATGAACATCAAAGAATATAATTAACCGGTGTATTGCATAAGTTAAACATCGGTAACTAAATTATGTTCATATGTGTTTTTAGTCCTAAAGTATTATATTTAATAACGAAAATCGTGGATGTTTTTGGTTTCAAAACTAGCACTGATCAATAACTTTAGCAATCGAACCGTTGTACAATACGCTCTTTATCAATGTAGTATCTGGAGTATTAACTAACTGGTAGTTCCCACAGTTATGAGTAATCTATTTTTAAGATAATCATCCATATATTTAGAAGGGTATACTAAACTTAGTTATCATTAATATTATCAGCTAATAGTAATTTGTTAATCATTCTCTTAATTACATAGTCTATGGCCTATTTTAGGGTTTTAATAATTCCCAATAAAATCAATTATGCCTTTATTTGTGCCTATGGATTAGTCAATCGTTACATTATCAAACAGCGATTCACCATATAAGTGCTGTGGCAGGGACATTTAGCCTACTTGTGTGTGTCTACGCCATTGACAGTTTTTGTACGTTTTGTAAGATAATGGTCCAAACCTAGATAAGCCGTGACAGTTTAGTACAAACCTTCAAATCTCGTTTGAAATTACATTTAGTGTTTATATGCAGATAATTTTCCTCGGGTATATAAATACGGAAATAATAGTTTTACGTTATATATAGTATCCACAATCGAAAAAAGACATTCGTATCTTAAAAACTCAATTAACAAGGAAAGGAAACAGTTAAGACAGAGATGAGCTATTGAGTTCATTTTTGTTAAATCTCGCACCCAATAACGAAATAATTGTAAATGAAGAACAATGCGGGAGGGAGTCGAAAACAAAAACTTGAAAAAAAAATACTTTGAACTATTAACACGTTGCTTTGTTATTGCTAAAAAATCAGTGCTCATAGAGAAAGGAGGTTCCCAGAACAAACTAGTTTAGCAATTAATTTCACAAACAAACAACGACAAATAGCTCAAAAAACTAAAATTACAAACATATTATCACAAATATCTTTATTGTGTTAATGATTACGATTAAAGCTATGTAAGAACATGAAACATCTTTTCAATAAACTCAAGAAAGTGCAAGAACGTGCAGCTCAGTGAGTCATAATTTATGTCGAATATACCATACTTCCCAACCAAGCCAAACTGGTGGACAGCTTATTGTAACTCTTCATTGGATATATCAACCCAAGTATCAAATTTTTATCAAAATTGGGAGAACGGTATTTTGATGGCGGTGGTAGTGCAAAAGATGTAATTTATTCTATTACATTCTATTTGGAAAAGGTAAATCTGTGGATGCGATGTCTTCTTCACTATCCAAAATTCAATAAACATGCGCTTATTTGGAAGAAATGACATTTTCTTTAATTTAAAACTACAATTTGAGATATTCAATAACCATTCCAATAAGCATTGCCACCCTCCGCTCATACCCGAACCCTTTCAGCGCCGACTGAAGCAGTTGGCGGCGCATCCACAACAAAGAAGTCGGGTAAACAATGAAAGAGAAGTGCTCCAAGTGACTCAGAGAGGCGAAAATGGAGACAGAAAATCAAAATCTCGCACCCAATAACGAAATAATTCTAAATGAAGAACAATGTGGGAGGAAGTGGGGGATGGAGCTTGGTGCCGTGTGCAGGGGCTCGAATGACATGGCGGGACGGAGCCGCGGCGCGCTATTCGACACGTAACCGCGACTAGTGAATAGTGTGTGCTTCAGCCACGAGTTTTAGTTCTTCTAAAAGGTAAGAGTGCAAGCTGTGCTAGTGGATAGAAGCTTCGAGTGTCCTGCTTATGCATAGTGCTTCCTTCAGGATAACTGACAGACGGTTTGTATTTACTCGCTGTGTGCCGCTACACGTAAGGATAGACTGGTAATGTTAACACTGCTGTGATAGGGCGAAGTGTTATCACTAAGGAAAATTAATTTTTCGTTAGATAAATATTTTTATGATAGTTGTTAATGAAATAACTAAAGAAAAAGTAATTACAAAACTAACAAAGTAGTGCAAAATGTTTGACAAGTTTTTTGTTGTAGTATCCTTTTATATATTTGATTTCTAAAATCGTAGCAAAGTTAAGTTTTAACATTTTACCATCAGTAAAGTAACAATTATTTATTGCTTTGCAAAATAACCTGATCCAACGGTTGAAATAATACAATGAACCCTATTGCTTGGTTTGAAAGAGATAAAACAGTTGATATAACCATAGTTTTATCTATGATATAACGTAAACAATGCGAGTTTCTCTAGAAAATGACATTAGTGAATAATAAGTATAAAATAATACAAAATTGTTTATATTAATAGACCACTGCTACCGGAACCTTTGTTTACATATCCAAATGCATCTATTCTATAAATCATTATGATACAACATGGTTTGTTTGTACTCCGTTTACCAACAAAGTTACAAATATCATCTTAAACACAATTCTACACTCATCCTTCACTCATATTTGGGTTAAAACGCGCACCTAGGTGGCGTCCCCATCTCAATGATTGATAATATTATTGATTCATCTTTGAACCTAAACTTTTACAAAAGTTATATTACGTTATGGATGATTTTTGTAATCAAATTACATTATTATCAATAATCTTTACAGAGTTAAAGTAACAAATTGGAAATAGTAGTATAGTATCTTATTGTTATTAGCGTTGAGCTCTACCACTATAATATCCGGTAGGCCTAACTATCTTGTGTTTATAACTTCAAACAGATACAGTACTTGAACTAATACAGTGAAATGGTAGGGGGTTTGTTTTTAACCTCGCGTTGTGTTTTTAACATGTTCTGAAACAATTTAACTACGAGAAAGTAACATCGATGCATACAAATAGAAAATTTAAAAATGTTTGACTTGGTAACAATAATGTAAATAATTTAAATTTGTTCAAGTATATTATACATTTGGGTATATCATACATCTCATATATCACATTGGTTGTAAGGAAATTCTGGCTTAACGTTGACGTGACGCTATTGTGTTTCGAGTTTCAATACAGTAGAGGACGAACTCACTGGGGCTGTTTTGGGACTTTGTTTTCTTCAGCCTAGTTCCGTTTCAGCGTTTCAGCCATTACAATTAACTTCCAGCCATTACTTGGGTGTTTCTACGACCAGCTGCAGGTGCGGGTGCGGCTGCGGGTGGAGATATTTTCGTAAATGACACGGCGCCGGTGGGCGTGAACCTCGTGGCGTAAGATGACCGCAGTCCAAATTTATTTTTGGCCAAACAGTTCGCCATCTTTTTCAATTTTCCACGCTGGAACGCGCAGAAGCCGACTGAGTCACAGACGAAAATAAACAGCTGATCTCTATGGCCTCCGTTTTGGGACAACTTCTGAAATGAATTTGATCCCTCAGAAAACGCGGAGATTTGTTCAAAGCGACGAAATTAGTCGACTAAGAAATTCTATATACCATTTAAATAAAACCCAATATATAACATCGTTTCTTACAGGATAGATAATAGGTTGTAGAAAAATAGATTTGTTATAGTTGATATGCAGTTAATACACATAAAATTAAATCACCGGATGAATACAGTAGTTGAAAACGTTATAGTATTACCATAGAATATTTATTTTAGAATCAATTAAGTTACAATAAAAACTAGTTGAACACGACTAATTATCAATAGATTAATATGCCTTCACTAGGTTCTCATTACAAACTGGCTTACATAAGATCGAGTCATAAAACGGTTACCAAAACTAAACAATACATATCAACATGACAAATACAAAGTATATTTAATTTATGGTCAAATATTACAAAAATACACGCACATAGCGCAAAACGCACATACGGTACAAGAGAAATGATATGGTGTTTATTATATTATTTATCTGTGCCTTAAGATAGGTTAAATAAAAAACCTTCAACCTTATTTAAAACTTTATGGTCACTGAAACGATTATGTATGCACAACTATTTTAATGTAAACTTATGTTTTGTTCCAAAGCCCAATTACTTTGGAGGCTTCTGAAATTAAATACACACACAGACACTAACACCATTAATTGTTTTTCCTCAATAATAATACTATTATCAAATCATATTTTGTGTATTTAAATGATATAGGTTTATGGCATATAGAAGGGAAATCCCAATTAATAACAACATATATTTACCTTCTGTATTCAAATAAGTGAATTGTTGTACGGTTCAAAGTTCCCATTATGTATCCAAATCTGCATACTAGACACAAGCTGTAAACACCATCACATCTTAAACTCAAACTTGTTTTATTAGCTTTCATCTATGAAAAACTCTATGCAAACGAAGAAATAAAATTACTTGTTGATCTTTTCCAACCTTATTTTGGAATAATTTAGTTTCGAATGGATCTTATTAAGTATACATACACGACAGTTAGATTAACACTGATCCAATAGAACCGAATGGAAACCAGTTGTGCTTGTGACTAGGTACAAGAGGAGTTTTCTGGTAGGAATGGAAAGGAAGGGGGGGGAGGTGTTCATTTATAGTTTGTACAATTTTGGCCCACGAACTAGTTGCCCGTCGCAATCTGGTTCTTTGTTGTTCTATTTTGGAAGTCTTCAGTGAATGGGTCAAGTCGTTTCAATTCAGTATTAAATCGTTTCTACTTTCCCTTATGTAAAACCACACTATCAAAATAATCTTGTAAAAATTATCATTGCTTTCTGCTTTGGAAAGGGATGAATTCAGGTCCTTTAGTGAATATAAACAAAATGGTGAATATATAATTTAGGATCACTGTTATTAATTGTATTACATATTAGTTAAAATATTTAACTAATATAAATATACAAATGTAGTTGCCCAAAGACAGTTCAGCACATATATTTATAGTGTGTATTAATGCTACACCATTACGTCCTCAAAAGCTTTATTCTAGTAAAGTCAATATTTTTTTGGAGTAAAATATTTGTTTCATTATTGAGTCCTGATATACGGAGAACTGTCACTAGAAAACAAAAGGAATTAACACTGAGCAATCATGAAGTTAACATTACAAAATAGTTTTAAGGCATCAACACGGATTAACAATCTCTAATTTATATTTATAATCAACAATCAAGGTAGCTGTCTTTGTTAAAAAAAAAAAAAAACAGTAAAGGACGTCCATTTAGATAATATAAGTCACTACTGCTAAATCAAGTGTTTCGTACGAGATAATACAAAGAATAGTTGTTGAAACGAAAAATAAACAAAATGAAACAGATTCATTTCTACATTTAGATCGCATAATTTTCGCAAATCTTAGTTCGTTTGATAATAAATAGGTAGCAGAGTAGTGGAGATCTCGGCCAATCCAAATGTTGCTGATCTACAGAATCTTTGGTGATTCTGATGACCTTATTCTAGCTAGAATCTTTGACAATTTGCATAATGTGAATGTTTAGGACACAATGATTAGGATAACTTATAAATACGACGAGAAGTAACAACTGAGGATTTCCTTTTACTTTAGGTAAGTTAAACTATTCTACTCAAACATAGAATTCGAAACAGGGTTGATCTCCACAATCAACGTCATATCTTTGATGATGAAAGGCAACGTAGCGTATTCTAACGTCGTCCACACTACAACAAAAATATTTTTTTTAAGCTCTTAAAAAGCTGTCACGTTATACAAAGATAACTTACAGGGCGCAACACAAATATTTCTATCTCCAAACAGAAGTTATCAAAATACACGAGTTGATGCATATCTGGGTAATCGAGTGGTTAAATGGCTAGTTTACTGATCATAAAGTCGCTAGTTCAGTTCGGAGGAAAGAAATGGATCCAATGCTGTTCTTGATCATTGAGCTAAGTGGTCCTTGCCAAAGAACCAGATCAACACTCCTTCAATCATTTACACTCTGGTGTGCCGGCGTCATACAAATGTAATCTGAATTTTTGTAGGCCAAACTAAGCGCTAGACATATTACACGAATATAAACGCATAGTGTCTAATTCTCAAGCGCTAATATACACATAGATTATTGCCTGCAGCAATAAAATCGACCCCAAACGCAGATCTTATCATATTACTCGAAGATGAACTCATGCAGCGTCTAATTCTAATTCTAGCGCTAATCATAGTTTGTGTTAGTTAGTTATTAAACAGAAATTAATGTATACAGCAATAAACTCCCAATCTCCAAACGCAGTTGTTATTATATTAAGCTAATATGAACTCTCATTACAATAAACTCTCTAGCTCCAAACGCAACTGTTATCATACTCGAAGACGAACGCATGCAGCTCAAAAATCTCAAGCGCCAAACGCATTACACGCAAAAGCAAACATGCAAACAAAATCGCACAACCAATTGCAAAACATATGTTCTACGATATTTGAGCACGTTTGTGCTGTAAGTGTGTAAGTGTGTGCAGTGATTAGTCAAGGCCTCGTCCCTGGCACGCAGTTCGTAGCTATGCCACTGCAGCAGGTCGCCAAGTACCAGTACAGTGTCGGTTCGGTCGTTGCTCGGGGTTGTACCATGACATTGTGACCAACTTGTCTTCCTCATTGCAGCTGTACACCTCCTACGTTCCAACTTTCGTTTAAGGTCTGTCTTCTTTTGTACAACTAAGAAAACTAATTGTTATTTTATTTAGTAAACTTTTATGATTTTTTTTTAGAACAAAATAGAGGCAAATGCGCTAAACTATGTTTAAATACAATTTGGGATCAATTTAATTTCAATTAAGATAATTTTATCACGCTCTGTAGCAACTAAGTGCAGTATAAATATAAAATAGTAATTATTACAATTAATTATGTTTACATTAAATTAAAAGAATTAGGCTATTGGAGAAATCGTTGTCGAGATTGTTGCCTTTTCAGTTATTTTTTCCGCTAAAACTCTATTTATTGTAATGTTTATACATGCTGAAGTTTACTTTGTGTAAAGATTGAGATTTTGAGAAATTAATCATTCATTTTGATGGGACAACATCATTTGAAATACTGCTGCATTTGAAATACATGTAGTATAATAATTTAAAATATTCTTTGGAGCGTTTAATTTTCATGCATACTATATTTCTTTTATGGCACTGGATTTAAAACTATTGTACAGTCAACAAACAAAACTAAAAAAGTCTATCTTGTAAAGAAAGTGAGTTACCCTGTTCATTAGTTGTAAATCTAGGCTCATGCACCAATATGAAGCTGCTAAATATATAATTTATTAAAAACTTTAATACGGAAACTTTCCGTTCTTATTTAAAGGATCATACGTGAGCTTACTCAATTCACGGAATTAATTTGGCCATCGACATATTGTTCCAAAGTAGATATTAATTACTACACTATTCCATATAGGTAAATAAAACGAAGTCGGGTTTGTTCTAACGCTTATATCTCGAGAACAGCGAGACCGATTTTGATGGGTTTTGATTTAGCAGAATACTAAAAAAGTCTAAAAGGAAAATTATGAAAACACAGTAAATCAGCAAAATACTTAAAACTGGCCCTTATTTATCCACATCATTCTCCTACATTTAAAATTACTATCTAATATTGGACTTTAAAAAAATTGAAAAAAAGAGGAAAATATTTTGGAAACTTTCACTAGTTTAAAATCCTCTCCTCCTTTAAAATCTCCTGATCATGAGGTGCATGAGGAGAACTAGGCTTTGCTCTTTGATTGAAGATATAATACACTACCTCATGTGCAGTAGATTATTACTAGTGCAGTAGTCTGGTTAGGAATGCCAGAGCCAGATTGCAGAATGAGTGACACTAAAATAAAGTTTTTTTATTTTTAATAGCGACCACGTTGGTAGAAAGGCTTCAATGAAAAGAATTAACCCAAATGCATCTCGTGTTACATAATAGTGTAGTTGAATTAAATCAAGTCCTTATAAAGCATTATTGAAAATAACGGTGATTGAAATTTTAATTTTGGAAGTTAATTTAGTATTATGATCTTGGTAAATAAAATAAAATATTTATTTAATATTCATTGTATTACTTTCATAAATAAATTTTAGCTCAATGAACCGACATTCATTGACCGGTTGTGTTACGAAGTTTGCCAGGTCAGCTAGTAGTACTATATCTACACAGGGAAGTCCGGATAGGAACTAAATCGGTCGCCTCGCCAGGCCCAAGTCAAGTGCAGCATCTCATGCCAAGATATCTCGCTCTAGACGGTTCGAGAATTGGCCACGATCTTGTGACCTCATATTCAGTATTTGTGCTGTATTGCAATCTGTAGGCCCTATTGCTGATCGGAGAACTTCATGATTCAATAATGTATTTAGTGTCTTTAAGAATTCCAGTATTTTATTATTTTATTTTTTAAGGAGAAGCAATGTCAATTCAATTATTCAAAGATAATCTTGAAAACTTATTCCTGAAGGTTATTTAAGTTATATTTAAAATGGTGGAGGAATTTAAGTATCATGGAGGAGTTAGCTGTTTGGACGGGCTAGTATCGCGTGGATGTATATACTCAAAACTCAGAAATATTGAATTGCGAATAGTCCGACTTTTTAGTTCTTTATATCAAAGGGATGACTATTTCCTATGCTAGGGCTACTGGAAAAGGGACCCTTATATTACTGAATAAATTATAGAAATGCAGGTGGCAACAAATACAGATTATAATAAATACATACAAATATAATTTCACATTAAAATTTAACTACCTTATATAAGAATGAAAAACTACTTTGCGTTGCTTAAATAAGAAAGTTTCCATATTAGAACCTTACAGTTAAAAGTTACAATCCAAGTCAACGTTTTGAATCTGTATATTCTTGCTAAATGCATGTTTATCCCTTACTTTCAGTTACTCATTTTGACTTTACTCAAATAATTTGATTCCAAACATTTTTAGCCTCTGAGACACTTACACAGTCAAGATATGAAACCAGTGGCCTAAGATAAATATCAGTATCACTTGGTGAAGGTACTTAATGTAACTGGTATTTTGTGTTTTGTATTTATAAAGATTATTCATCAGTGAGTAAAACCATTGACGTATAACACATTGCATATGATTCCTTTTCTGACATAAATAACTGAAACTTATGCAGAGTGTAACAACATAAAAGTAAGTTAGATAAGAGCCAAGCCTGTACATAGTATATGGCCTTGAGTTGTTACATGTTTTGCTAATTAGCCAATATTGTGATTCAGTACTGTTTTTCAATTGTATGTGAAGTTCTAATATCAAGTGATTGTGCTAAAAATGGCTTCACCAAGATTTTAGCTTTACAGTGTGATTAAAATTGTGCTTATATGACTTTTCTTATAAATTCAGTCAGTTTTAGTAGAAGCGACATTGTGTTTATTCAAGAAAAAATTGCTAACCACCGGTAATTTTAATCCATAAAACTTGTAGAATGATGTACCCAGTTTACGTCCAACTAAGTAGTATTTAAAATGAAGGTTATGTATGGTACAGTAAGTTATTATTTGTGTCTACCTGTTAAAACTGATCCTCAGAAAATAATACTTTTTATAGATGAAATTGGACCCTGCCGCACATAATCAAAGGACTTTTTATAAACAAGTTTTAAAAGTTAACATACAGTGGTCCAATTTAAATGTATAATAATTGCAATATTTTATCATGTATGAAGAAGATATTTAAATATAATTAAGTTTTTAACATTACCCAATTTGTCAAACAACAGAGATTAAAAATTTCCTGCTCCAGCTACAGTTAATTATTTTGTCTTTTGATATATGCAGGGATGCAGACAGAATATCTCTTAAAAGAATAAACTTGTTGTCTAAGTAATACTCATAATGTAATATTACACCTTTGACAATTTTAAAATACAAATACCCCCGCCGCAGCAAACCTGCAGACTAAGCAATTTCCATTTGACTCATTGGATTTACACTGAAATGTCTACTTAAAAATGTAACATTTATTCCCGATTTAAATAGAATTAGTTTAACAAGTACTTAGGTTTGCTGCACCAGGATGGGTAAAACTGTTTTTTTTTATGTTAGTAGTTAGTAAGAAATAAAAACATTTTCCAAATTTGATCAAAATATGTTCATAAACAAGCACACTACAACAGTTTACTTATTGTCCATAAGAATAACATGGGAATTTTAAATTTACAATTTTTTTTAATTTTCTCCGTAACCATTAGGCGCATAATAACGCTTCAATATACTAAATTATTTATTTTTTTAAGCTCTACAAAATGGTTTGGAAAGAAATTGCAAAATTTTATGTTTTTTGGGTCAAATATGCAAAAAACCTATTTTTACCCCATAAAACCCCCCGTAAACCCCCGTTCCCATGGTCCGATCATGCTGGATCGCGAACTCGTTCGAATAAACGTAGGTTTACACCAACGTTACCAAATTTCATCAAAATCGAATCATTTTTGCTCGAGTTATCGTGCTAACAGACACACACATATATATATATATGAATTTGAACGGATGGTGTTTTTGGCCTCTAGGGACCTCAAAACGAAAAAAAAAATCGGTCCCGCGTCCAGGTCTTACCATGAGTACTACGGTAATAGCTTATTCCCTATATGGGAAATTCGCTAAAACATGTTTTGTATATCAAATCAAATTAAACATCACCATCCCTTTCATAAATCAGCAAGATATACTGGAAACATATTTTAAGAGTTACTTGCATATTGTTTTAAATGATTATTTAGTGCAAATTAAAATGTGCTATCTTAATTTGGAACAGTGACAAATTTTTTACAATCCCTTTCTCTATAAATATCTGTAAACTGGATTGTATTTAGTAGACTTCAACCCCATTTCCCATAGGAATTTATCACAGATCACAATTAATACTTGGCAAGCGTGTGTTTTCCCTATTTATTTTCCCTGGCATCGGTATCAGCTACCACGGGGGTGGCAATCAGCTGGAATAGTAGTGTAAAGTAAAGAACAGGTTTTATCAGATTTCAACTAGTTTGCTTGGCGACAACTGGAGCTCATTGGAGAACAGAACATTTGTTTCAATTTCCAGACCTAGGCTGGGCCCCAACAGCCCAAGACCTTAGTGTTTCCATATGTGGAATTTATTTTTTTAAATAGAATTTTTAGACTATGCTCATGATTAAAACAAAATACATACAATATACAAAATTAATGAGATTTTTGGCTCTGACACCTGATTTTCTTCTTTTGGATGTAGTCAGATAAAATATCTATTTAATTAATTCACCTATTTTAGCATTGTAGTACTTTTAAGATATATTTAAATAAATATAATACAGCAAAAAGATCACTCAGAAGAGAAAGGAATTCTTTTTTTATTCATGCGGGATAAAACTGGATTTGTCATCGCATTGAAGGGGGATCACAGGACTTTCTCAACCAAGTAAGCGAGATTTTTTGTCAAGTGGAAGACCCTCCTCATCCTAAGAGATATTTTCTTCCCTCTTCTTTGGCAGTCTTGTTTATCAAAATAAAATTTAGCTAGGCTTGTGATTTTATAGTGGTATTTCCAAAATACATACTGTTTATTATAACTTTAAAATAGCCAATAAAGTTTCATTTCTGTTTCAGATTTTTATAGCAAGTAACAAATTCCAAAATGCCTTTCAAGCCCGCAGACCACCCCAAGTGCCCTAAGTGCGGCAAGTCAGTGTACGCTGCTGAAGAGAGAGTGGCTGGAGGTCTCAAATGGCACAAGATGTGCTTCAAGTGTGGTAAGTCTCGAACCAGCTGACCTGTGTACCGAACATCATCGTTAACCAAACTAACATGTCAGTACGTGCGACAAAAAATTAACTATTAACCGTCAAAATTTCTTTTAATTGTCTTCTCAAAAATATATAATTTATTTTTTTTTATAATTGTTTTTGCCATGCAGCTGTTTTTTATAATATACAGTTCATAGTCTTTGTTAGTAAAACAAAGACCTAACATAAACCGTCAGTAAAACAATAACAAATTATTGTTTGGCATAATAAAGGGCTATTGCTGTGGGGGTGTATAAGTGTGTAAACTGTAAATAAGACTATAGGCATGTGTAAATAACAAGGGGGTATAATCTGTGTTATTTACTTCCTAAATCATCTTTATTTCCCAAACTTGTGTTTATCCATAAAGGAATGATTGTTAGGTATCCTTTCATTCAGTTGACCTTCATAGTCTTGTGATGGGTGAGGTACCATGAATTATGTTCAATAAAGACTAGAGGACCCATGCTGCTCCGCAGCGTTAACATAAATATAATATCCGAGAAATAATCAAATTTATGATTTTTGATTGAGTAATACAGCATCTTGATCTTAACTGATTTAAACGATCAATAGTTCAAATGAAAGCCTATAATTTACTGATTATTTTGAGTATAAAACATATAAAAACCATGAACAATACTGGAGCTATTGATTTTTCAATCATGGAAAACCCATACAAAAATAATTTTTTTGTTGGTTGTTCACCTATTTTGCTTGAAACTCGTCCAATTTGAATAACTAATAGCTTAAATGAAAGCCAGTATTTCACTGAAGGTTCTTAGAGCAAAATATGTAGGATTATATTATTATAACTGGTGAAATATGTCTTAAAATGAAATAAGAATTCGAAAACGAATGAAATTGTGTTTTTTGGTCAAGTAATACAGTAGGTAAATATATGCCGATGCTTGATGGCAAAACTGTGCATGCATACCTTCAATTTGAGACCTCAATCATGAAAATCGGTCGGGTAGAAGAGCCAAACGAACTCGGCAAAGAGAAACCAAATTTAACTTCCATAAGAAATACATGATGAGCAAATTTCATTTACGTATAAACCGAGTGAGACTATATATAAAATGTATACCGATGCTTGATGACAAATCTGTGCGTGCATAACTTCAATTTGAGACCTCAATCATGAGAATCGGTCGGGTAGAAGAGCTAGACGAACTCGGCAAAGAGAAACCAAATTTAACTCCCATAAGAAATACATGGAGAGCAAATTTCGTTTACGGATAAGCCGAGTGAGATTATAGATAAATATATGCCGATGCTCGATGGCAAATCTGTGCGTGCATACCTTCAATTTGATACCTCAATTATGAAAATCGGTCTGGTAAAAGAGCCAAACGAACTCGGAAAAGAGAAACAAAATTTAACTCCCATAAGAAATAAGTGGGGAGCAAATTTTGTTTACGTATAAACCGAGTGTGGCTATAGATAAATATATGCCGATGCTTGATGGCAAATCTGTGCGTGCATACCTTCAATTTAAGACCTCAATAATGAAAATCGGTCGGGTAAAAGAGCCAAACGAACTCGGAAAAGAAAAACCAAATTTTTTTAATATATAAGATTTCACTGTATGAAATACCTCTTCAAGATTATTGAAAGTCATACATTAAGTAGAAAATTAAAGCACTATTATATGAAATTAAACACTGTTCTTCTAAGACTGTGTGATGATTTTTAAATTTGTAACAAGAAAACTTTAACACAAAACTAGTGTACCTGTTGCTCGAATTCGAGCAATTACAAAGTGTTACGTCAATTAATTATTTTGAAACGAATAACAATCATAGTGATTATCCAACAGTCCTAAATTGAATGTGAAATCTTCAGGCGGCTGTTGGAGAGCACACTTAAACCCAACACGGAAGGGTGCTTGCTGTATTCGGCTATCAACGACAATAGTATTATTTGTATTTCGTTCGCGTCTACCAGTTAAAGTTCGTCGGCCTCCTCCTATTGGCCGTCCTGGTCGACGTCTTATAGTCTCCATTATGTCGAACGTTTTTTGGTTATGTTTTGATTTTGTGCAAATAAAAACTGGTTTAAAACAGTGAAACATCATTTTCAACAACTAATCTAATAAATCCTTATAGCACATGTCTCCAATTTGAGTATAACCAGCTGTTTCAAATATTAGTGTTAATTTAAAAGTATTCATCTGTTCAAACTTCAAATGTAAACAAACATTTTCTCCCTAAGAATAACATGGGAACTTTGAAGGCCACTGGGGCAGAGCCCTGATGGAATTCCAACTTTTTTTGTTTGATGGCAAAACTACATGCTAAGACCTTTCTAACGACACCTTGGACATGGTGATCGGTAGCACCACCGCTCCAAAACAATTATGACAAAAATATGCCTAGCGTATTAAAAATATAGATTTAATAACCCAAAATAGTGTTTGATTCTAGACTGGGTCAAATGCTTTCTCAAAATATATGAACAGGAAACCAGATCATGCTTGATTGGAATAGTATACTCTGAGTATAAAAAGTACCTGGAGACTAAGCTTTGCTCGGGGAAAATCAATAGTTTACTCTGAGAGCAGTCTTAGTATTGCAGATACATTAATCCATTCCCACACTCCACACTGCTCATCTTTACTACTTCCTTCACCATTTCCTACGTCGTGGACTTGTTTCCTTCCCTTCTCATAGCATTTAATATTGCAGATACATTAATCTAACTGCTACAAACGGTTCCTACACTCTGCACTGACAGCCTTTACTACTTCCTTCACCACTTCCCATGTCGTGGACCTGATCCCTTCCCTTCTCATAGCATTTAAGTATTGCAGATACATTAATTCAACTGCCAAAAATGACTCCACATTCCGCACTGCTCACCTTTACTATTTCCTTCACCACTTCCTATGTCGTGGACCTTTTTCCCTCCCTTCCCATATAGCATTTTAGGATTGCAGATACATTAATCTAACTACCACAAACGGTTCCCCCACTCTGCACTACCAGCCTTTACTACTTCCTTCACCACAGTCTAGCAGGGAAGAGCCCACTCCAGCACAAGAAACACATAAACCTTATGCTACGGTAAACAAACACAAAAACAAACCTCTACAGAATTAAACCTTCTTTGGTTGAAAATGCTGTCAGTGATTTTTTGTTTCTTGTGCTAAGTGGACTCTTTCCCATTCCACTGCTATTCTTATAAAAATTCTAATTTAAAAGTTTTGGATAGTTTATTATTATTGTATTGCTGTTGAAGGAAACCTCACTTTTCAAGTAGTTTTTCCTCTGAATTCTTGACTTATCTGATGGCAATGTTGACAGGTCTCTGTGGCAAGTTCCTTGACTCCACAAACTGCTCAGAGCACGAAGGCGAGCTCTTCTGCAAAAACTGCCACGCCCGCAAGTACGGACCCAAGGGCTACGGCTTTGGCGGTGGCGCTGGCTGCCTGAGCATGGACAAGGGCGAGCATCTCGTCGGTGAACAGTGAGTCAACAATCTGACATATGAATAGACAATCTACCAAAGGCTAGATCTTAGTGGCAAAAGCTCCAAAAGCTCTGGATGTTGTTAACTGTTTTACCTCAACTGCTTGACTGAGCAGTGGTCTTACGACAGTGAACCGTTACAGTATCAGTAGTATCAGTGACCGATTTTGAACCAGTAATATCTAGCTTATCAACCTAAGGTGCTTTCACTGAGTTGTAGGACTCGTGGAAGAAAAAGAATGATTGGCAGCCCGTTGCGTTTTCAAAGTACAGTATCAGTAAAGTTTTCTAAGGGAAAAAGGTCTAAACTCCTACATTTTGTTTGTGGATATGTTGCGGATCCAATCCGCTCCTCTCACACCAAACTTTGAGGAGCTAACCACTGGACTAGCAGTACACCCAAGAATGTTTCTGCTTGTTCATTCTGAAGCTTATGCCACCAAAGGTTCTATGTCAATTAACTATCTTTATACAACTGTATGTTCTTACAAAGAAACCATATAATTTCCAAAATACTTCTACATTCACACAGCTAGGGTTTTATGTAAAAAATATACATTATTAGTGTTTATTTACATGGCATTGTAAAGTATTTTGAAGAAGAATTCCAATGTGCTTTCTGAAACTTTTAAACCGTTAGAAGTAATAATTGTTAAGCTTCATTTTAAGACAAATGTATTGCTTTTTCCTACTTCTAGAAATACTTCGTCAAGTACTACTACTTGATTTAGTCTATTAATTTCTTGCTTTGTAGATTCCACTTCTTGCAAAGTTTATATTTTACGTAGGTTGACACCTTTAGGTAGAAAAAACCTCAAATTGCTTCAAACTATTGTTGTACTGAGATTGACACTTTGTACTCTACACCAACACATCGTCAACATTGAGAATAACAAACACTTTATTACATTTCTATATTTATTCTAACTCTTAACTAGTATAACCTTTTTCATGTTTCCTCTAGTAATCTTCATATTTGGTAATTTTCTTTGTTACAATAGAACACTTTTTTATATAGTAGACTATTCTAGTGAGTTCAATCTTAAGATAATGTAAATACAGTAGATGCTTGGGGCACTTAGAGGGCATTTTCCTTTCCTACTTGTACTGTCTTTGGCTTGTCCTCTCTTTGCTTCTGCCCGGTTTTAGATAAAGTAGTAACTGGTATTGATTAACTAGAGAAATGCTTCCTTTCTTGTTTTACTTAAACAAAATAGTATATATTTATTTACATATACTTTTAGAATATCATTTTGTATCTAGTTTTTTTACTAGATTAGGGGGTGGATTTTTACTGTTTGATGCATTTTAAAATACATTTTAGCTCTACATTTTGTGGGTAGACAAATTTTGAGTTTGATTTTAGAGCTAATTTAAAATACCAATGTTTACTATGGATATCATGTGTTAATACTTGGACACAACAATTGAAGTGGGGTGCTTAACATAATGCAGTTTTTTTTTATTTTCATAAGAAAGTTAAGAAATTAAAAGATCATCCTTTAAAACTCATTTTACTTCTCTAAATAGGCATATGATAAACATTTTTTTTTTATCCTGCTGAGTAAAATGTTACAATTGTAGAGAGGCTGAAATTTTTTAAATTAAAATTGATGTAATGTTGCCAAGTTTCTATAGAATTATTTAGGAGTTATTGTGGACAATTTTTGTTTGTCTGGTCTACTTTAGAAAAACTAAGCTGAAAAACTATTATGTAGACTATATTTCTTTCTCTTCACCCCATATGTTAGTTATCAATGCCAATATGTGCATGTCCCTTCTCATCGATTTATTGACCTCTCCCTTGTATTGTTACCATTTTGACCATTTATTCTCTCACATTTGGTCCTTGATGAGTATCACAATCCCCTAAATATACGCTTGTGATGAAGGTAGCCTAGTTTTCATCACTGCCCCGTATATTGTATGTTCGCATGTGTCCATAGTGAATGAGCACCCCAACATTGTAAGATGGTGCCCCTGACATTTTTCCCTTTTGTTCCCAGCTAAAACTCGTCGCTGCACAGCGGAGATTTTGGCTTCCACACCTGCCCACATTTTTTAATTTTTAAAACTGCGTTTTGAGAGCAATCATACTATTGTTATATTTTTTTAGTGATAATATTTTCATAATGTCGTATTTTGTTAATTGTATTACTATATGGTTAGATGGGATGGTTACGTCGAGAGAAGTTATACCAAACGATTTGTACACTTGAAGGGAAAATATATTGGTAGAAACGATTATCTTTATTATTCGTAGCCCTCTCCACTTTAGTCATTCAATACCTTACCTGCAAGAATCATTGATTAAAGATAGTACAAGTTAAAAATACATATCAGAACTGTATATAAATAACAAATTGTAACGGCTTGTGAATTGCTATGCTTATCGAGCTTAGGGCTTGGTTGGCGCGCTATGATACTAACAATAGACAACATTTTGATAGTCATCACAAAACTAAATGTGTGTTATTTAACACCAGTAGTATCCCTGTCCAACCAATTGTTGTTAAAAGTTGTAAAAACAACCTACAAAAATCACTATTTGTTTGGGAAATTTATATAAAAAGTTTAAAGTCAACGGATAAATATAGAATTTTAATTTTTAACTTGATACGTTCAGCTCGGCAACCGACTTAAGCTTACGTTGGCAAGCAATGATATAAGCCGTTTACCTATGTTAAGTACGTAGTGCTCTCAAAATCAAGCAAGATGAATCGTAACGAGGTGATACCACTTGGTGAGCCAGTTTCATTGTCGCAGCATGATCGCGCTTCGCTCGCTCTGCACTGCTTCGCTAACCCTTCCCTCCCCATGTTGCATGGTTTATATGTGATGGGATAAGGAAAGTGCCCACTCTGGTGTCTTGATCATATCATTCGATATTTACTGTGTTCCTCTTTCCCATTACTTATGACCTGTAATATGTAAGACATTACATGTAATACAGTAATATTGCACATGTTTACAGCTGATGCTATGCTGGAAGCCATAATCGCTTCTCCGCTTCATGATCGTTTTAGTTTTAGATGTACTATAGTATGTTTATAGATGTTGTAACTGACTAAAATATAGGTTGAATTCAATTCCATGCAAATGTGTAATAAACAATCAATGTTAAAAACAAATAACTATATATTTTAGTCGTGCAAGAAATCTTTCAAAAATTTAAATGGAAAACTACCTGATAAAACTAAGAGTTATGTAATCAGTGTAATTTGTTTAAACGTTGTTCCAGAGAGAGACATTATGAGTATTTTCGAGAACTCCTTATCAAAGTAAAGAATAGGTAACCTATCGACAGGTTTGACATCCCAATCCCAAAACCAACTTACATCATTGGTTGAATGGTGTTCTTGGTACCGGTATCCATTATTTTCTGTCTCAAGTTTTCCCTTTCTTAATACTCGTATTTTTACAATGTATACATATTAATATCACCTCATCGAGTCTCATCTATCCACATTTTAATTTTGTAAAGAATTAGAGTACATTTGTAAATTGTTTCTTTTAATTAACAATGTTCTAATAAAATAGAACATGAATAAATAAATTCATCAAACCAATTAAAAGGATTTTCCAAATTTGTCACATTGAAACTTTATTATATGATGTACAAAGTCATGCGTTGATGTTAACATTATGAAATGACTAAACACAATCATTTGTGTATAACTTCTCTAAAATGCTTTAACTGTAACATATTTGAATAAATGCAATTAACAAAATATGATAACACTGTGTTTAAGGAAATTTTACTGACAATGATTTCGCATTGTATAATAATGCTTCTAGTAATTACTTGTATTATATAACGTTTGTTAGATATTACATATAATTATGTATCATATTAAAACTTGATTATATATTTTTAGATTAATATGTTTAACTGTATTTCTTCTTAAAGATAATTTAAATGTAAACCATCTCTTTTTCCTTAATTTCTTTTGAAGACATTGGCTCAATACTGAAAAAAACTAAAGATTTAACTAGGCCTAGCTCAACAAATTCAGCATTTTTTCCACTGTTCTAAGTTGTAAAATCATAATTCAATAAACAAACTACAATATATTATCAATGTTTCAATATTGATTTCAGTTATAGAAAGAAGTACTCCTGGATTGATTGCAGTGTTAAATTTAGGACTAATAATCACAATTGTTTCTGACTTCATCCAAATTATAACTAACTATGAAAAACCATGATAATATTTGCATAAAATACTTAGTAATTTTTCATTTGGCAAACATCTTCTAACAGTATTGCTTTATGAACTATTTTTACAGTTTTACAGAATCAAATCATAGTGTATATACAGTGTGGTAGAAAAGTCCCAGAACAGTTAAATATATTTGTTACCAATATAGATAAAGTAATGCCACTTGGTATATAAATAATAGCTATAAATGTCTACTGTTTTAAGCTATTATCACCTATTTATGCCTTAAGGGAGGACACGAGGAATCAGACAAAATTCTTAAATAGCAGCATAGGTCGAGTTTGGTATCTAATTAAAGGTCTTAGTTAGTAGAATTACATTGCCGCAAACCCGAACTCAAACGTATAATTGAGTCAAAAATGGCAGCAGTTAAACTATTTCTTAAATCTGCCATTTTAAATCTTTGAGCAGCTGTAATTTTTTACTCAGTTGTTCTATTGAGCTCAAATTTGTGATATTGTATTCTACTACATAAGACCTTTAATTTGATGTGCATGTCGACCTATGCTTACGTTAATGATTTTCTTCCGAATTCTCGCAGTTGCCCCTTGAGGAGGTAGCGTAGAATAGCAATGCAAATTCAATGAATCTTTGAACATCTGTAATTTTTAACTCAGTGGTCCTTTTGAGCAATGTATTCTACTAAGACCTTTATTAGATACCAAACTCGACCTATGCTGTTATTTAAGAATTTTGTCTGACTCCTCGTGGGCCGTCCCCCTTAAGGCATAAAAATGTGACAATAGCTTAAAACAGTAGACATTTATAGGCATTATTTATATACCAACTATCGTTACCTTATCTATATTGGTAACAAATATATTTAACCGTTCTGGGACTTTTCTACCACACTGTATGTAAAACCATTGACCTTTGGATACTGAAGCAGACATCCCAACTCTAAGGGCCAATTTTTCATACAAATAGAACATAATGAATGAGCAATTCTAAGAGATCATAGTAATTTACATCAGATCAATCTGTCAGTAGCTGAATGTAACTATGTTCACTTTTATTATAACACTGGCAAATACTTTAACATAAGAATGGAAAGTCTAGTTCAGTATCTTAAAGTTAAGAGTAGAATTAAATTAACCTTTCTAGTTGATGAGGCCGTTTGATGTTTGACAGGTCTGACCGCTCCTCTGGCCCCCGTGATGTGAAGGCTATAGCCAGGGCCGCGCCTGGAGAAGGCTGTCCCCGCTGTGGGGGCTGCGTGTACGCTGCTGAAATGATGCTGGCTAAGGGACGGGTATGTATGAGATATCAGCTTACTTGACCAATATAACGACAGATGTGACAGTAATTCTACACCAAATTACTGGGGAGTTGGAATAGTGATAGATCGTAGGGTTTCAGTCATTGAGGTCCTGAGTTGAAATACCAAAAATCACCAATGGCTCAAACTATGTGATGGTGAGAGCCTCTAGGCTTAGCCTAAATATGAAAAACACTTTTGACTTAAGTGTCCTAGGATGGTTAAATGAAGGTCTTAAAAATAACAATACACTGTAGTGGAAACATAGTTAGAAAATATCTACGTGAAGAAACTACTTAAGTTTATGCATTAATAGCTTAACTTGTTTGACTAAATATACTGAAAATTCAATTTATGACTATAGGTCGGCCGCTTATAAAACGACCTGCGCAAAATTTTTAGCACATGTAGGGGAGGTAACGGCGAGGGAGGGTATGTTCCCCCTCTCCGCCAGGTGGCCGTTTTCACACTGCACGACATGACACCGACACGGCGCCGCCCCAGTGTCGTGGGAGTTGGAATCCTGTGTTACCAAATGGAACTGCTTACACAATGATATAATAACATTTCATGATGCTCAAATATTGATGCGATTTAGGCTATACAATATTTTTTGCAGTACCTATTTTTCTCAAGTTATGAAGAACGTAATTGTTTACATTTTGATCAGCTGTAAATTTAATTGCTGTTAATATTTAAGCTGCAATTCAAAGAAATGCGTCCTTTACGTCAAAGAAAAGGTGGGGGTGGGGCGCCAGCGGAGTGGGGGAAGAGCCATAGTCTGTCTCACTCCCACAGCTCAGTATCTCTCTCTCGCACCAATGCTACGAGGAGGTCGCTTTCTAAGCGACCGACCTATAGTGACACATTTATGAGCGTCAACCAGTTCTTCCCTTCAGCAAAAATTAATTTGCACTTGAGCTTTTTAACTAAATATAATACAATTTTGAATTTTTTAAACAATTCTCTCTGCTACTGTATAGCCTAAAGCTGCAACTTTGCAAATCGTAATCCAAAGAATGAAAATCTTCAGGGTATTGCTTACAAATTCTGTTAAAGTTTATTAAAAATAAATCATTTCAATTTAGAAGTTATTTAAATTTGGTCTCTGTGTACTGTCAACCCAATGACATCCAATCTGTGTATAACAGTAAAATATATACCTCGGTTGTATAAGCGATCAAAATGATTCTGGGGAAAATATAAACTAGGGAAAGTTAAACAGGAACTAATTTACTCATTTAAAATGAGCAAAAAGTTTTCAATTTAGAACTAAACTAAAGTATGCTCTTCTGGTTATTTCTGATTATAAGTTTGTGTTTTGATAACAACCAGAAATATCACAGAAGCTGTTTCCATTGCATAAGGTGCAAACGTACTTTGGACTCGCTGGAACATTGCGACGGGCCTGACAAGGAAGTTTACTGTCGATGTAAGTTGCTCCGGGCACTTGCGCATGCCTGCGTGACTTGCACTGACATGTCCGACCTTGTAGCAATACCTTGTCTTCTGAAGACCAAGACCAATGTAGATAGACTATTGTGATGTAAACGTTCTATTCCCATGTATCTGTTGTAGTCAGTTTTTGAAGTAAAAATAATATAGTTAAAGATTGGGTTGTCGACAGAGTGTTTGCAGTAGAATACCGTTTTCTCTCTTGAGCCTGCCTGCTACACAAGTTCAATTGTTGACTTGACAATTCAACGTGAACAAGAATTGTCAAGCCAAATTGACAGTGTGTAGAGGTTAAAATACCTTTAATCCGTCAATGTGATCAATGTCACCGATGAGCGGCGACCGGTTTCAGCCCAGCTGTGGGGCCATCATCAGGCGATGAAGGAACATAAATATCACTCCGAAGAGGTCGTCATAAAGTCTATACATACGTCACGAGAAACAACACATAGATACATTATTTACAAACACACGTGTGGCCACAAATTAACTGCGCGGCGGACGGTACGCGTACATTAAGTTGCTAGTCCAAACTGTCGTCACTGCCGTCTTGTCCATCTGCCATCCCCCTCCCCCTCCTCCAGTTCTTATCAGGTCCTTTGTGTGTTGTTACTATTCTTTCAATGCCGACTGCTGTTTCATATAAAAAATTACTTTCAAAAGAGGCTTTTTCGTTTAAAATGTGTTGGGGATTTTCCTTGCCAGCTTTGTAGATTTCGTACTCTTCTATTACATTTAAATGTCTGCCTTTAGTTTTGTGGATTTGTAGAATTTCTAAATTATTGTCTATTGAAGTGTATGAATGATTGTTTGTAATTAGATGCTCAGCAAATGCGGAATTTTGTTTCTGTGTGGACTTCTTTGGCAGGTGCTCTTTGAAACGTGCTTTGAAAGATCGCGCAGTTTGACCTATATAAAAACTGGGGCAAGTGTCACAATTAATTTTGTAAACACCTGTTAGTTCATTTTTATCAGATGAGGATTTTGACCTGATAAGAACTGGAGGAGGGGGAGGGGGATGGCAGATGGACAAGACGGCAGTGACGACAGTTTGGACTAGCAACTTAATGTACGCGTACCGTCCGCCGCGCAGTTAATTTGTGGCCACACGTGTGTTTGTAAATAATGTATCTATGTGTTGTTTCTCGTGACGTATGAATAGACTTTATGACGACCTCTTCGGAGTGATATTTATGTTCCTTCATCGCCTGATGATGGCCCCACAGCTGGGCTGAAACCGGTCGCCGCTCATCGGTGACATTGATCACATTGACGGATTAAAGGTATTTTAACCTCTAGATTAATTAATATTTGTGATCAGGAGGCAAAAAACAACAGAAATGATGACAGTGTGTATGTAAAAGCTGGTTCAAAATATGTAAGATCAAGTTAGAAATTTGAACTGATGGCATGATGAAAATTCATATTTTTCGCTTGACACATCAGCTCGACAGCAAGGTATTCTAACTATTCAAAACTGTAAGAACAGCTGGTTGTAGACTATAATGTCGCTCATTATTAACTATTATAGAATAACGAATCAAAGTAAAAATATAACTCCAACTGTAGCACACTTTATGAGAGGCTTGTTTAATTATCATCTTTAAGTAAAGAAAAAACTGCCTACAACTGGTACACATAGACGGGATGACTACTTCAATATCCAAAGTCAATCATTGTGTCAAACATCATACAACATGCATGAAGTGAGAAGGAATGAAAATTAGTAGACAAAGAATATTTGCACCCTCTTTAGAAATCCTTCTTATTATACTATCAAAAATTAATAAAAATTGCCCTATTTAAGTTATTATCTTTCACACTTCTTCTTGAGAGAAATTATGAAAAAAATAATTTGTACAGTATTCAACTTACTTGAAGGGAGCTGAAGGGTATTTTTCCACTGGTAGTGCAGTTAAGTTAATCTTGATAATTTGTTCATTTAAAAGTGATTTCTTACAATATTTTGCACGCTGCCTCCTATTTTTGTTGGAGACTGCAAGTGTCAAAAACCTAAATGCAATTTTACAAATCCATGTACGGACTATGGTTCCAATGACCGTTTTTGACAAAACTAAGTTGTATGAGAGAGGAAGAGAGAGCACCTTCCCTTCAAGTAGTATTCACCTTTACAGCTTGAACTAGTGCAAACCACAATTGGAAATCACTTAATCACATTAGAATTAATAAACTTTAATTTCCGTTTTCATACACCTAAGCTATCCTGTTAAAACTAGATGTGCAAAAAAAAACAGAAGACAACGAAATAACAAAAGTATCAAGAGTATCTAGTAAACTTAATTGATGCTACAGTATTTCATAACTCAATTTACAATATGAACATACATTTAATGCATTCCAAATACAGCTAAAATGGAATCAAGAAAATCAGAATAAATACAAATTTCATCCAACATTTAGCTTTTTTGGTAAAGTAAATTGCTCAATACTCTCCTTGAAATATTCTTGGAAGCCTTTACCATACACTCTTTGTTATCTCTCGTATATCGTGTCTTTGTTTTATTTTGTACACTTTGTCCAAGTGTTTCTGCATGAGAGTGTGTTTCAGCCTTGGCACAGAGAGTGCTTCAAGTGCAACGACTGCTCCAAGCATCTTGACTCTATTCTTGTCTGTGAAGCCCCTGATAAGGAAATATACTGCAAAGGTACACTCAGTTTAAACAACACACCTAAATGTTACAATTTTTTTTAGTAAACTTAAATTTTTTTGTAAGGATTCTAAGCAAAAATTAAATTTATTTGAAAGTTAAATTTTTTTCATATTGACACTTAAACATAGGCCTAATTTCCTTGATTTTGAATTGAACATAGGTAATTTCCTTTAATTTAATTGGATAAAAAAGTTAAATATAATCATTTTGGTATTACCATGTAACATTGTATTATTATAAATGAGTAAAACCAGAGCCTCCTCTAATACAAGGCCGCGGCGAGACAAAAGTGGCAACGCCGCAGACCCATCATACTGAAACAGCTGTTGCACTCATTTATAATGGAGCGTATGAGTGTATGTGCAATGTTTATCTTTACAATTATAAGTTTGTTGCTCCTGTTATTACCATGGCAACAGGCATGCTGCTGTGATGTTGCCACACTCCAACTCCGCAGCCTTGTATTAGAGGAGGCTATAGTACCAGTTCATACCAGCAAAAACTAAAAATTTAAAACATAACATGTGTTAACTTACTCCTATGTACACTTGAAACAAATAATTTTAGTTTTGCTCTTCATGGCATCAATTTATAGAGAATTCACTTCAATTGCAATTGCATACTAAATCCAATGATAATAATTTCATTAGTACTAAAGTTGTTTATATTATTTTTCTTTTTTACACATAACACTTTAGTATTAAATATACCTAGTTCGAAATTATTTTACTCTTGAATTTTTGCAACTTTTAAATTAAGTCGAAATAAAATTCAAACTCAAAACCATGATTGCACTTGTACTTTTAAATACATACATGACAAGCATACACAAGTTGTGCATGGAACCTAGCATGTGTATTTACTCTGTGTGCACGTTTTAGTTTGCTACGGCAAGAAGTTTGGACCCAAGGGTTACGGCTACGGCCAGGGAGGTGGGGCTCTTCAGAGCGACCCTTCAGTGTGTGGCAACGGGTATGTTCATCATCTAGATACGACCCACTGTCTTTCCTTGATCTTTGACACTTAGGCATATAATCTCTGACAATTGACAGTAGAATGCCATTCCCATTTTTAAGATGTAGTCAGTTTTAGAATGAAATTGGATGTAGTTGAATCAAGGCACCAACAGAGAAAGCTGATCTCAATAATTAATGATTTTTGTCAAATTCAAAAACTTCTTAAACAAGCAAATCTGATAGGATAATTTATTCTAAATTATCTTAAGTCTCATCAAATATCATTGCGAAAACTAAACAAAAAAAAACTTATTTCAACAATGTAGCCCATATTCTGTGAGTGGCTCATTCAACTACTACTGTATGTCCTTTTCTGTAAAATTTGGCTACAACTGGTCCATATAGATGGAATGTCAGTATCCAAAAGGCAATTTACAATAATTCATATCCGTCGCTCTACTACAATCTTTCATTTGGGAGATTCTTAGCTATTTATATACTATGATAGCCTGATCCGTTCAATTTAACATGGACAGTTAATTCATCTAAAGTTCGCAAATTTCAAGTAGAACCCCTTATGAAATATAAAAATAGATCAAGGAAAGTCAGTGTATATATTATATTTACAATGTGCTTTGCTAATCTGATGCTTTATTATCTGCAGTGTGCTATGCTAAACGGTTCGGTCCTCGCGGCGTGGGCCATGGAGGCTCTGGCATAGGTCTAACCTGTGACATTGATGATGACAGGTACTGCAAAACAATCACAGCATGTCAAAACTTCACTGTTATGTTTGACATATCCAAGAGACAACTTTGATCTGGAGAAAAAAATACTTTTGACCCAGCTTGAATCAAAGTTTAGAGTCATTGCCTCATTTCTTTTATTACATTCCTTATGGTCGCATTATTTTTAAACTTCTTCTTGTCTATGTCCAGTCACTATGATTGTTATCAGTCTTGATTGAAAGTGTTGTCAGAAGTTCAACCCTCTTGTGATGTCTTTGTGATAGTTTGCATACCTGTTAGTAGTTTGTTATAGTATGTTTGTTACGCATGTCAAACACGTCATTATTTAATTGACGGTTTCATCAAGATTGAGCAATATATTATGTACAATGAATTTGGGGTTGGTTTTTTTTAATTTTAATATTTCAAAGGATCATTTTTAACCTTTCTACCTATTATGTTCACAAAAATACATCTACAGTACTTCCACTAACATTTGGCATGCTTTGTATGATTAATTTCCTTAGCGAAACAAAACAAGGAATAAAAGTGTTGCATGAATTTAATATAGGTAGTACTTTTTTAGTATATATTTTGTAGCAATAAAATTAAGTCAATTTTTCTAGACATGGTATTTCTCAAGATACATGAGTTTCAAACTTTTACGTCAACTTCTGAATCCAGGCAGTCTCCTTTTTTACCACTACACAAGCATTCAAACACAGATCCCTATATTTCCTATACTTGTTTCCCTATATTTGTTACAAGGAAATAGAGACAAAAAGTTATGCTGATGAAAACAACAGTATGTAACCTTTGACGATAGATAGGACACTACGTTCCCATTTAAAAGTTGTAGCCCGTTTTGGAATAAAAATGAACGTAACTATTTTGCCACCGATATTGTGCACTAATGCAAACTACTGATTTCCGTCAAATATTCCAACAATTTACCTTGGAAAACTGAAGAGAGAGCTTATTTTAAGTTATAGCATCTTTTACGTCACATAAAGATAAAATAACTATCATAGTAACAAAAGCGAAGGGAGGAAATAGAATATTAGACCCTAGCACTCTCTGTGAATGGTTCATTCAACTGTTCCTTCTTAATGAACATTGTCTACATCTGCTTCATATAGATAGGATGTATACTTCAGTATCTAAAAGTCAATGCTGTAACATAAACATCCCTTAAGTAAACTACAAAATAATTATGTAACAAACCTCACGACATATTGCTACCAAAATAACCACCAACAAGCATGTCTCAGGACAATACAATAGCATGTCAATGTAAGCCCACCTGCTTTATACGCTTGCTGCTTCTAGCCTATTACACACTTGGTGTGGGAGTTGACATGACTTGGTGTTGCAGTGAGATCCCAGCTCCTCGTATACACGTGCAGGATACAGCGGTCATCATGGCAGAGCCGGGCAAGGGCTGTCCTCGCTGCGGCGGAGTTGTGTTTGCGGCTGAGGAAGTGCTGGCCAAAGGACGGGTGAGTCTGAAACAAACCAATTTAGATCAACTCATGTCAAATTTTAACACAAACTAAGTCTTCAGGTTTTAGCCTCAAGTCTCAAGCATAAACTTAGTTGTAACCAGGAAGCCTTACTTCTTAGGTAGAAGGCTTGCATGGATTGCTAGATGAGTGTAAATTGAATTCGGGACCTGAAAATAGATTCCTACTGTTACACGTTGGATACAACAGATTGGTTTCATAGTAATTGAAGATAACCAAAAAAACATATTGTCCCAATTTACACGTAATTCAGTACTGAACAATAAATGTTCATTAATATATTGATAGGAAGCTAAGTGGTTATAATTACTAAATAATCATTTAGTAATTACAAGGTAGGTGGTTGAAACTTGAGAAAACTCAGAAAATTTTGACGGTTTCAAAGTAGAAAGAACTGTCCATGATCATTGGGATTTTAATAAATTGTGAACTGCTAAAAAAAAACTGGTTTAAGTATGAAGCTGCAAAAGAGGCTTTATACACTCATCTTTAATTTACTTTTGGGTTGAAATACGTAAGCTCTGTTTCCATCTCAGATTGTGAAATAGAGATATAATTTGGTAATTTATCTTTGCTACAACTCTTTTTTTTAAATTAGTAATTATTTTTTTAAACATGGTAATGTTGACACACTTTTTGTTAAGAGGTGATAAGGTTCCAACATTTTGATGGAAAAAGAGCAAAGAGACAAGGGCTTAGTTTGTTTTCAGACGTAATATTAGAATTTCGTTTAGGTACCGGGTGTCCGTAAAAGAACTCCCTAGTTTTAAAAGAACTCTCTAGTTTTAAAATGTATTTATTTATTGTACAATATACAAATTACAATAACTTTTTTAACACTAGTACACCTCAATATGCTAATCATTTGTAGCCCTACAGATATCCTCACTCATGTTTATCATTATTTTTTATTATTTTTATTATAATTTATTACCAAAACGACGCTCAATGTCAAACAGGTGTACCAAACTTATTTCTAACGTACGAAACTAAAACTTACAAGTATACTCTCTACATCACTGAAGGATTACTCATTCATTTAAACTAATACTATCGTGAGATTTTTTTAAAACTAGGGAGTTCTTTTTCGGACACCTGCTATATTCTATACAAATATTTAAAAAACCAAAAGGAATCCAAACAGTTTATTAAACAATATTGAGTTAACGGTTTGATTCTTCCAGCCTTGGCATCGCAAGTGCTTTAAGTGCAAACAGTGCAAGAGAGTACTGGACTCAATCATAGCTTGTGACGGCCCCGACCGCGACATTTACTGCAAGACTTGCTACGGCAAGAATTGGGGTCCCCACGGCTACGGCTTTGCATGCGGCTCAGGCTTCCTTCAGACAGACGGTCTTTCGTAAGTACAGCTGATGAATAGACAAATTATAGTGGTTATAGTGCTAGCTTTCAAATCTAGAGGTCACTGGTTCGATTCCAAGTTAGATTGTTACTAGAAATAGATGCCATTTGTCACTGGGCTATTAATTAATTAATTAATGATGCTATCGTCAAAAATTCATTGTTAGATAGTAACAAGACCAGGGATTGCATTGTTCCTTTTAAAAAAATTTTTAAAAATTCCACTGGCATGGACATCAAATAATTAACAAGAATACCAACTTACTTATCAACTCATTTAACAACGTACAAGCATTGACTAGACGCTTACTAGATAACTAGCTCTATGGGACAATACTTTGAACCAAATAATGTTAGTATTACAACTACAATTAGGACTGCAATTAGGACTACAAGATTGCCACACTAGTCCTCAAGACTGGCTAACACCTCTCTTCAGGATAAAAGTATTAGAAGTCAAAGACAATAATTTTTGTCAAAATAAAAAATTATGACAATATTTTTTGTAAGACAAATTCTTTTTGCCAAGAACGCAAGGGGTGACACCATTGGTACTCATTAGTACTCACCCGTTGCTGCTTAAAATGCTGGTTAACTAGTTCAGAGACTATTGTGTTCGGTCTTACAGTTATTAGTAAAGTAAACCCCCTGTCTACCTCACCCTGTCAAACCAAAACCAGCGTTAACTGAAGCCATAGTGAAACATTTGAGCCAATTGGGAAATTAACATGGCAACGAGAACCGTTAAACAGTTGGCCCAGCTTGGCATGAGTCTTGGACACCAAAATTTATTTATAAACATTAATTAAAAAAGCAAAAAAAACTACTGTTGTAGATCTGAAATAGCATTTAAATTACACTATTGACAAACTTAAAAAATAGGCTATACAAACGGCCTTACCCACTTTATTTTGGTTGAACTGGGGTTTACTGTAACTCTTAATCATTTGGTGAGTTGTTGGCTCAGTTGGTAGTGTCACGGACTTCGGGCTCAAAGCAGCGATATCGTGGATTTGAATCCTGGTCACTGCCGCAAACATTTTATCAGTACTCTTCTCCTTCGCAATGGACCGGCTCACCCCTTGCTTTGCTGGATACGTTCCATGCACAGATCTGTAGTCTATGTGCACGGGCAAATGCAAGATTAAAAGTTCTTTTTAGGGAAAAAAGGTTCTAACTTTATCGCAAGAGGTTTACATTATCGCAAGAGGTTCACTTGCAAGTTGCAACTGTAATATGACCATGATGAATGATGATTGATTATAATGACGACAGTTTCACAGTGAGTTTAATGTTACAGAGAGGAAGAAATCTCCAAGTCTCGACCCTTCTACAACCCAGACACAACCTCCATCAAAGCTCAGCCAGGCCAGGGCTGTCCAAGGTGTGGTGGAGCCGTGTTTGCTGCTGAACAACAGCTCGCCAAGGGAACGGTGCGTTGTTAGGAATCAAAGGATGAATAACTGTTTGGTGATGGTTAATAAAATTGAATTACGCTGGATTTTGTTGTCATATTCAAGGTTAAGTAAATCTGAACAATTTGATTTTCTGTGTAATTTGATAGGTATTACCAACACACAACTGATCAAAACTGAGACCAGACCAAATTTTTTTACAGTAAATAGCCAAGTATTGCTTCCCCAATCAGAGTAACTTGTAATTAACTATTTCTCGGTCATAAAAATTCACGATATTTCCCAGTTTCCCATTCGGCTAGACAGCCAGTATTTCAGAGCACATAGCTTGTTGCTTTTAGCTCAGCTAGAGTCTGCAATCACTAAAAATGGAACCCGCTACTAGTTTGGCTGAATACTCTGACAATTTATGTACGAATTATACATACCTATGTTCAAGTAGTATAAATAAATAAATGTACAGTATGTGAAAGTGAAACTAACACGATTATCCAGAGATAGGCTGCAATCAAGGATTTGGTAATGGTAATTACCTATGTAGCATACATGTCAGCACTGAATATTGTTGGTTTACAGATGTGGCACAAGAAGTGTTTCAACTGCTGCGACTGCCATCGACCTCTAGACTCCATGCTGGCTTGTGATGGTCCCGACAAGGAGATCTACTGCAAGGCCTGCTACGGCAAGAAGTGGGGACCCAAGGGCTTCGGCTACGGCCACACACCCACCCTCGTAGCTAACGGGGAGACTACAACACTCCAGTGAGTACCAAACTATCTACAGTTAGTTACAGGCACATAAAGAAATCCATCATCCAATATTTATAGATTACAATAGTACCAGCGAGGTGGTTGAGCTTAAACCTTGTTCTTGCTGCAACTACTTATATAATTGACTAATGGATTCTGAAGTAGACATCCCATCTACAAGGTGTTCAAAAAAGGTGGGGACATAATTTATGTAGTGATTCCTTGGCTCAAAATAAAAATAAAATCAAGAAAAACATTTTTTCCAAAATTGCTTTGTTTACCAGATATCCGCAATTTTGTATTTTTTACATAAACATTTTTATTTTTGATTTCTTTTAACTGATCTTAATGCAACTTGGTATGTATGTTAAGGTAGTTAGGAAAAAAATTCATCTTAATTCAACTTAAAATTTTAAAATGGTGGCAATTTTAATTTTTATAAAGTTAAATTACTCGAAAATGGCTGATTTTATGATAAAAATGTCAAGAGCACTTTTATTACGAATTTAAGGCTCTTAATAAAGCCATTGACAGTACAATAAACAAATAGAACAATAAACACAATATAGAACAATATAAACAATAAAGCAATAGAATTTGATATTGTTTTATTCACTATCAAACGATACCAAGTTCAAAAAGATCGAATAAGAAATAGCTGAAATATTACGATTTTTTGTGGTAAAATAGGGCAAACCTGTCTAATTTCTGCCTTATTCTATCATTTTACATATAAACTACAACGAATTTGATTAAAAAACTGGCGACAACTTTAACATGGCAGTTAGATATCTAGTTGTATCAATAGTCAAAGCTTATATACCTACTGTAATATCTCAGAATAATTAACAATGTAAATGAGTATGTTGTGATTAAACAACCTGTTGCAGAGTAATGATACAGCCAGTCATCAACTAAGATTAATAACATCCATCATATACTATAAGTTACATAAAACAGTTCATTCTTTCTGATCATTGTAGACCCTTTCCACTCTTTTAGACTTCAAAAATAAGAGATCAAAGATTTTCACAAAATTAATAAACACGATTATGTAAGTGCTTTATGGAAGTATAAGATATAGAAGTTTGCATGATCTAAAATCCAATTATGAACAATTTTGTACCGTAGCCTCCTACATAAGTCTGCTAATTTTACTGTCTTCTGATGGCATTGTTTGATTTTACAGCACCGACCAGAAGTTCGGAGGAAAGTTTGCTCCTGAGGGAAAAGGTTGCTCAAGATGCAAGTATCCTGTCTATGCTGCTGAACAAATGATTAGCAAAGAGAAGGTGGGTAAAAATAATGTGACTAATAGTAAAATATGAGTGTTTTACCGTATATTTACTCTCACCGCTTACACATGATAAAGGTTGTTGACAAACTTATGGGAGAAAGTATGTGTCAGAATGCTGATACCGTTTATTTCTACATGTAGTGTCTTATTTCATGATTTTTTTATGAACTCTACTATCCTATGTATTAATTTGACAATTTAATTTGTTTATAGATCTGGCACAAGAGATGTTTTAACTGCGCTGAGTGCCATCGATCCCTTGACTCAACAAATCTCAACGATGGTCCTGACTTTGAGATCTACTGCCGCGGCTGCTACGCCAAGTTCTTCGGACCGAAGGGAGTTGGCTTTGGAATGGGTGCTGGCACTCTGACCATGGCTTGAACTCCTCAATAGTTCTTCAACTCCCTTCCAGCCCTCTCCACCACGAGGGGTACAAGGCCACCCTCAGATCTAGGGCGACAACACGGGAATAATCACATCATTACTGATTGTTTTAAAACATGCTCCACAAACGCTTTCTGTTGTTTTAGCTTATTTGTTAGCTTGATAATTAAAAATAGGACCAAATCGTCATCGGACACTAAAATATTGACACAGCGGTCGGTGGAAGGGGATTTCGGAAGGGATTATGATTTAGACGCTCACTCCTACCCTTAAGGCCAGGATTATTATTAGTTTTTTTACAAAGAGAAGAAAGACAAGAGAGGTTGTTTCGAAACATTCCTTCCATTTTGACCGCTGTGTAAATACTCGCGGTATGTAGGCTGTGTGACCTTTGTTATGTTTGGCTGCTGTATATAACACCCGGGGCGTAACACATCATTCTCCAACTAATCTGACTAGGACTTAGTACATCTTACATTGCGCAAGTAGGATGTACTGGTCAAGTATCATACTCCATCTAGTAGTGTTTTAAGATTTTTGGGGGAATTTTGAAAACGCCTCAACATTTTAACACAATTTATATATTGTTTTTGGTATAATTCATTTGTTGGATCCATTCACAAGGAAAACAATCAGTATTTTTTAATCGTGCATATTTTTATTTTATATGGTTACGTTCGAATTCGAAACGTTTTTCAAGGAGATATTCTTGTTTTGATAGACGAGTAATTTGATTTTTGACAGAACATCAAGGAGGGAAATAAGAGTTTCTCCTTTCGAACGACCAGATTTTGGGCAAAATCTGGGTTTTTTATACATGAATTTTGGCTGTTCAATCTGACTCAAAATTATCCCATTGCTGCAATAGATTATTAATAAAACAACGGTTTAGCTTACGAGATTGAACAATTTGCTTGCCCGCCTCTCGATAGATTATTGACTAGAGAATGAAGCAGAGTGTTATTTTATTACATATTTTGTTAACAAAATGATTTGTAAAAATTATTTTGTCTGAATAAAAAAAAACTTTAAATATTTACTTGAGTTCTTTTGTTAAAACCATCTTTCTGTGATTTGATAGACAATCGTGATACTCATTATAGTATAAAAACCAGCTTAATATTTTTCATATCTAGTAATTTCCATGAATGAGTTCAAATCAAGGTAAATTTACAGATATGAAATTGCAAATCAAACAGTTTTTCACAAAACTGTTTAATCTAGTGAAGTGGTGCGCCAGTGATAAATATATAGAAAAACTGCCTTAATGGATATGTGAACAATAATAAATATATATTCAAGATGGTATTTCAACTATGTATACAGTACCATATACAAATTCTCTCCCAACATACACAGGAGCTATAGGTCGGCCGCTTAGAAAGCGACCTCCTCCAGCATTGGTTTAGCATTAGCGCGCAGGTCGTTTTCTAAGCGGCCGAACTATAGATCAACAGCAGCCTTTGGCAATCTAGGCAAAAGTAATTCAGTCAAAACATCTGACACCTAATCTTACTAGTATTATAACCTAGGTAACAAACCAGAGAAACAAATTCTCAAAAAAGGTCACATGTTTAGTGCCATTCATTTATGACCATTAGGAGGCTGGGCTGATATGTCTTAAAGCACAGTCTGATTGACCTAGAAACATCAAATATTGAGGGCTCTTATTTGGCTCTTTTTTTAAATTTAAACATTTTTATGAGGTCATTAAAAAAGGTTTGTGTTTAGGGTGGTTCATTTCTGAGGTTCTTGCCATTCATGCAATTTACAATCCCATCCCAACTGGGTGGTTGAAAGCTTGTTCGTGAACATCCTTATCTACTGTTGGTAGCATTTAGAACACAACATTAATTTGTTAAAACAACATAGTTTAATTCTCATTCTCAATGTTTATTTACATTGCAGTATATGATTGTGTGGAGTCACAGACAAATTGGAATGTTAAGACTATTGTTGCATGAAACACATGACAGATTTGTTACTGATTCTTTAATTAACTTTTTAACCTCTATAGTTTACTTATAGTCCAGGCAAATTAGATCAAATTTAGGGTGTGCTCCCCAAAAAATCGTCTAAAGCTGGAAAGTGTTTTAATACCTTTTGGGGGTCCCAAATAAGACTCCTGTGAGTTTGCGACGTATTCTGACGTCTGCTTAAGTTTTGGGAGTCGAAAAACTATGAAAATTTTGCACTTTTTTCAGTTTTTCGCTTATAACTCCTAAATAACGAATCCTAAGGAAAATGTTGTTCAAAGATGTCTTTTAGTGCATTAAATTCCGCGTCGCTTGATGTTAAATACGTCGAATTCGGCCGAGCCGTTTAGCCGCTGTAGCTTTTCAAAGTTGGGATATTTCCATCAACATGGCCAAAAGGCTGATTATTTGACCAGTTTTCGACTTACAACTCCTAAACGACGCATGCTATACAAAAATGCACCTGTAGTTAGTTTGGAAAACACAAAATTCTGCGTATAATGTTTTTTTTTTATTAACCAATACCGGCAATTCATTGTTACTTACTTCGTATGGTCGCCATTTCATTGAAAAAAGTATTAAAGTTAAAGTTGGGAAATTTTACTAAAATTGGTAACATTATAGATCCTGTCCTTAAATGGATTATGAATTATTAGATAGTGGTTTATTCCATGATGGTCATCCAGAGGTTTATCTAATAAGGTGTGATGAGAGTAAGACACCCTATGTCCAAATATTGTCCAATATTATCTAAGTCCAATATTTAAGTCCAATATTGTCTGAGGTTCCGAAAATTCTAGGATTCATATCCCAACCACCCAATATATACCATCTATCCCTGTATTCATCTTTCAGTTTTTGGCTTACATCTCCTAACGCATGCTGTAAAAAATGTTCCTGTAGTAGTTTCCTATAGAGCATAAACGTCTGCGTAGAATGTTTTCCAATTCATCAAGATTTCTCGACTTCTCGACTCCCAAAACTTAAGCAGACGTCAGAATCCGTCGCAAACTCACAGGAATCTTATTTGGGACCCCCAAAAGGTATTAAAACACTTTCCAGCTTTAGACGATTTTTTGGGGAGCATATGTCTAATTTGCCTGGGCTATTAAAAAAAACCAAGATTTTAGAAAACTTTCAAATTCGAGTAGTGCATAAAATTTCACCAACAACCTTAAGGTTAATAGAAACTCTATATAGAGACTCAGATACTACATAATGATCAGGATGATTTAGTTGAAGATATAAAATTGCTAGGATACGTAACTAGCAAAATTCTATAAGACCAGGTAGTTTTTAATTGATCGTTGGACATATTTGATTTTGTGTAAATTTGACATTAAAATGTTGGAATTACTTTGGATGTGGTTGACTAGTGTATATCATAAGGTAAGGCCACAAGAAAATCCTGAAGATGGAAGTTCAGAAAAACCAACATCAGGTAAGATGTAATGTTAGTTTTGTCACAATTTTTATTTTAGTGGTTTCTCTTCTTTTCCCAACATTGTAGTCTATATTATGAACACTGCATTTAATTTTGGTTATGTTGCTAGCCTTGTGGTTAGCGTCTCGGATGGGTTAAATTCCTGGCAAATCCACAAAACTTTAATGGGTTTTGACCACTTTCCCTTAAAAGTATTAATCTCACGACTTAAAAACCAAAATGCTACTGGCATGGCGTAGAGAAAAAAAGTTGAATCTTGGCATTTGGGAGAATATTGCTTCGTTACGTTAAATTGTACATGGTCATCTCTTGAAGACCAAGATTTGGCAGGTCTATTTAGAACATAAACCATGGAAGCCTACCATCAAGAATAAAGGTTGAATCCAATGATAAAGGTCCGATGGGTCTCATGGATTGCCATGCTGGTGATGAAGTAACAACGATATATAAACAGAAAACCAAAACAAATGGAAGACTGCTACATAATCATGACATGTTTTATTTACAGCATGAGGTGAAAATAGAGAAGTCTGTATATTACATTATTTTTTGTTGAGTTCTCGACCACTGGACGACCTCTAGTTATACATAAAATGTTGTTGACATACAAACTGACGTGTCCTAAGTTCCCAATGTTGGCATAAAAGTTATGTTGTTTTGTTTTATCAACTGTTGGTTACCATTACAGAAAGTTTTTTTTATTATGTTATTGCATTACTAACTGAGAAATAAATAAACATTATACCTAGTAATCCTAAAATTTATCTTTTGGTAGAACAATTGGTTAATATTCATGATATGAGGACTGTTGCAAGCGGGATAAGGACAGTGATACGTTTTTTACCCCAATAAGCATCCGATGCTGACATTCATCGCCACATGACTCAAGTTCACTAGTGCAGAAATTCATTAGATGGTTTAAAAATGGCAGTGAAAATGTTAATTTTGGAATTGTGTTGTATTGTTTAGTGGGTATCCAGATTTCTCACAGAGGAAAAAGGGTTTCACGGCTATTTTTACACTTGATAACCCAATTTCGCACTTTACCCTCACTCATTGCATTAGGGCCCTAACTTTCAGTCATCTGGAGATGAGTGTTGGCATCAGATATGTTTCTCGTAATCAAAAAACGTATCACCAACCTTATACACATCAGGAGATTAGATGGTTTGAAAATTTTTTAAACACAAAGAACCGTACATCTCAGCTACAGAGCTGCAAATGGTGTCATTCTGTTCACAAACGATGCCAGTAATTAGCTAAGAGCCTCGTAGCTGCGTACAAGCAAACTACGGATTTATACGCAAAAATATCCCTCACTAAAAAAAACGCTCTCATAGAATCGGTAAGCATTTTACTGAAATATGCCCCTAACCAGTATAAAATGTGACTTAAAATACCCTTTTATCCACTGAAATAACAGCACATCAATAATGTGCTTACCTAGTAGCTTATTTTAATTCATAAGCATTAAGCAATTAAAATGGTTTATTGATAAAACATAAGAAATTTACTAAACATAAGTTAAGTTAATGATGGAACACGGAGGATAGTAAGATGGCCAGTTGAGAAGGCCAGTACTGTATTTTTTTATAAAGTAATTAAAGTATGTTTAAGAAACATCGTAAACGTAATCAACTGAAAAAATTAACTTTTTTTACAGACGAAAATACTTTGGGATGTACATCAGCTGGCAATTCTTCCAATCATGAAAACAACTTCAGCTTTTATGAAAACTTTAGAGTTAAATGTTTGTCAAATCATGATGTACTTTTCATAAAAGAAAGGTTATTATTAGAGAAGAGGATGCTGCAAAAACCTTTCCCAGAAAATAATTCTGTTGCCCATTCAGGAGGTTTAGCTGGAAATTTTGAGACACCTGCTTGTCTCATAAGAGACCTTCCACTATATCCTGGAGAACCGGAATTTACACCTAACAAACTATTTTCAGTCAAATGTGTCCAAATTGAAATAAGCAATCTAATCGTAGCAGGTTGGAGGGAAACTCAATTTGAGTCCTTATCATACTGTCTTGAGCTATATGGTAGCGTGAAAGCTAGTTCAAACTCTAGTCTTATAATATCTGTGAATTCAACTCAAGAGTTAGCAGCATACGAAAACCTAATAATATTGGATGACAGTAAAAAACTTGTTCTATGGATAATAGCGTTTTACGTGATATATTATTTGAAAAATGAAGCTACAATCCATAAAAGACAAATTATTGGAGAGAAAGAAACAATTGACGGATTTTTCAGCAATGAAGATTCTTCTGTCTTGTTAATAAATGAACCATCAAATTATAGGAGACAAAATGTGATCATAACAGAACTGGACTCTTCAGATGACACGGAGATAGTGAAGAAACATAAAAGTCAAAGGAGAAAGATAAACAGGAAGAAATACAGAAAGAGAAAACCAAACAAGCAAAATGTAGAATCTGGAATAGTTTCTGTTCCTTCAAAACTCTGCTTTGACAGTGTATCATCCTTGACGAGCGCAAATGAGGGGTTAACTCAGAGTAAAATGGTGCTTGAAATTGAAAAAGGGTTAAAGCCTATTAAAGACCAAATATCTGACCTGAGAAACACCATGACTAACTTTGTTTGTGATAACAATACAGACTTTGAAAGAAGCAGTGATAGTGGATTACCAGTTAAAACCATGGTCAGATGTTCTCACAAAGTTAGAAGCATCTTCACAGTTCCTTCTACCTCTTCTCTTCAGAAGCTGAGGCAAATAGCAGATATCTCCAGTAATGCTGAAGAAAACTTTTTCAAATTGTCTGTTAGTGGACCACGAAAATTATCTCCCCTAGCGGAAATGTACATAAAATTGTCACAAAAACAATTTTGAGAACTTAAACGAAAATGTTTATTGTTACATTAAAAATATGTTTTACTTTGATTAGTTTGATGGAATAAACCAACAGAAAGTAAATTAAAATATTTGTAATAACATTTGAAACAATTTTAAACTTATACTGTTTTAACAAGAGGGTAATTACATTTTATGAAAGATGGTAGTGGTGATCGATTTTGATTGGACACTCCAAACATCATCAGACCCGATAGGGTAATGTATCATCTTTCATACGTATTGATCATCTTGTTAAAACAGTATATAAGTTAATATATAAGTTTATATGTTTCAACTTTTATTAGACGTATTTTTATCACTTTCCGTATAATTAATAACACAGAATAGCAATAAACCAACTAAAAAGTTGTTATTAGTTATAAAACTTGTTTTTTAGTTTTGTTTGTACATAAACTTGATATATTATTGGGCGGAGTGCTGTGTGGCTAACTAATAGTGGAGTTTTTATATAAAGTATTCAGTTTAGCTTACCTGAGGAAATTAGAGGCAAGGATTCTGTGCTCAAGCAAAGTTTATTTGATATAAGCTAAAAACAAAATAACCATTAATGATTGTGTGAAATTATATCCAACCAACCAGTAGTGATAAGTGATAACTAAATGATCCATCTTGATTGATTATAATTATGTTGATTTTTTTCACTTTTTCCCCCTTTCAAACAAAGGTTGACAATCCGAAAAATTATAAGATTTTTTTATTGAACAGGCTGTGGTGATTAATTTAACAGTTTATAAGAAATAACAATTTTTATTACCAAACATATACAAAAAACAGCATATAATAATAGATTATATTTGGGGCCACGAGAGTCTGCAGTTAGCGGCAGCCAATAGCAAGACTGGGCTAACACGACGGTGCAACATCACCCGTTCACTACTTTTCGACACTAATTAAAATATACTAAACAATATTTTCAAAACAGCTGGTATTATTAGATTTGGCAACACCATACTGTCCTCATTGGCTCCTTCAAAGTCACGTGGTAAATAGGCTCCTCCCTCAACTGCAGACTCTCGTGGACCGTACTATAGGCAGTGATTCTCAAATCTGATATACAATCAATTATCCTCAATAATAATTTGGTACAGAAATTAAGCTCGACCATAGCATTTAAAATTATAGTAGCAGATTAAAAATTTGTTCTTTGCAAATATCAGTTTAATACAAGATCAAGTCTAAGCTTGACTCTTAAATGGATAAATAAATAAGTTCCAGATATACAGTATTATATAATACAATAATCAAGAATTTTCATCTTGGCAGTTTAGGATTATTCCAAGACACAATTTGATTGTTGCAGAATGGCACAGACCTTTATAGATCAACTTATCTGAACAGCTCTGCTCTTTATTATTAATCCTGATATATACAAACTATTATTTGATACTAAATCTGATACTTTTGATTCAAACGTTAAGTAAAACATCCTAACAGAAAACTAAAGCTAAACACAAGACTTTTAGTTATATTTTAATGAGAACAAGAAAATCAAAGAGAGCAGTGAGCTCTACGACTTGAACAGAATCAAACTACCGATAGGCCTACCTGTAAAGAAAGTAATACTGTAAAATGACTATGTTGAATACAAGAAGGTACTATTATCACAGTCAATTTCTCTTAAAATAAACATTACCCAAATAATTTTAAAATCAAACCTACGCTAACACTGAATACTTAAAGAAGACACTTATATTACTAAATTATTGCTACCATTAATTATTAATCAGTGATGCAAAAAGTAAAATAAAAATACTAAAGCATGGATTGATTGAGCAAGAATATAGTAGAACCACGGTTATCCGGGATGAAGATCAACCTGACAACTTCTTATCTGGGTCAAAATTCACAACTAAAAACTTACTGTTTTGGTCATCCTATCCTCGTGAAAATGTACAGTAGAACGTAGACCTCCTCTTAACCGACAGTAATACTTTCAGCGAGATAAAAAATTATAGTTGTAGGCAAGAGTCAATAAAAATTCTTATTTTAATAACTTTAGTACTGTAATAATTGATACTTTCCAAATACACTGTAATACAGTAAAGAACATTTTGTCAAAATTATACAACCAAGCAACCATTTTGTTACGAGACAGGATGTTTATTTATAGCCTCTCACTGGAGGCTCGAGTCACAAAAACTATCTTGACCTTGGAGTCGTTAACCCCTCTCCCCTGCCCCCCCTACAAGTTGAGTTGTTTGTTTATTCTAGCGATAAGATAATCATTTATCAAAATCGTACGATTTTATAAATTTGCCGCACAGATAACAAATCAGATGTGCTCACGCTACAAACCATGCAATATTGTTTGGGATAAATACAAAATAACCTATTCTTAGTCACATCCTGTGGATATAGGTATATGGTTCCCATCGCCGCGCATGGGAGCGGAAATGCCTAGATTCCTAGAAAGTGGCAGTTAAATAAAACTAAACTCAAAGCAAGGTCGGTTAAAACAAACTGTAATATTTTACAATCGAGGGTGGATAGTCCGATAATCAGTTAATGCTAGGCCGGTTAAGAGGGGGTCTACCGTAAATGAAAATTGGATGGATGAATAACAATCAGTCGTTCTACATTCCCTTGGGTTAGTTAATTAGTAATTACTAATTGGTATTTTATTTTCAAAATAAACTTATCACACACTTTTATAGAAATTTCTATATTTCGGCATTAGCCTTCTTCAGGAACAAACACAATAACAAATAGAAGTGTTTACCACTCTGAATCATATGGTTTTAGCAAAAATCCAAAATACATATAATTTATGAAGAAGTAAAAAAGAAAATGTTTTGATAGAAAGAAAGAAAAAAATTTATATATATATGTATATATATACTATCTCAAATTTAGACCGGAAGGTGTTTTAGATTTAAGTATTAATTGATGAGCTTGCTCAAGCTGTCTTAATTTCAAGTCTGGTGCGTCTTTTGCCAATTTTTTTATTCCTTTTAATGAATAACATTGTTCAAAATTTTGAGAATGCTCTCTCGCATGAATAGCCACAGGTTTTTGTTTATCAGGATGGTTTACATCATATCTGTGGCCATTCATTTTAATAAAACTAAACTCAAAGCAAGGTGGGTTAAAACAAACTGTAATATTTTACAATCGAGGGTGGATAGTTAAAATATCAACAAATATCAATTTGGTATTTTATAAATTCTGACTACACAATAACTTTGTAGTGATGATTTATCTTTGGACCTGTTTACCACAGTAACTTTATATAGGCCAAATTTATTACAAAGTTGGATTTATCAGTGGTACATAATATACCTTATTCTCCATTACCCTAAATAACCAAGATTCTACTATATAAAAGACCTAATATTAAAATAAATTAAAGTTATTAGTAAATAATAATTCAACCTCATAAACTAAAAACTTTATGAAACAAAATATCGTAGAAAGAGTACTGTAATGTGTTTTAAGAATTCACAGATTGATTTTTACAAAGTTTTTTTTTATCTTTTTTTTATTCATTAAAGATAGGTGATGTTTTTATTTTTTTTTAATTATTTATTTTTTTTTTTATTTAACCCAATATTACCAACTGGACTCAACAAACTGGTTCAATAAGAACGCTTATTAAAGTTAAACCTTTTTTTTGTTTTGTTTTTTTTTTCATACTATTTGAATAGTTACAATCATCAATTCATTTAAGTCCTAATGTAATAAACACGACTGTTGAAACTTCAAGAAATATTGATAGGGTATATATAATATTGTTGTGTCGGTACTGTTAATGACCGTAATCGATTGCAAGTTATCGGTACTGACACCACTGGTACCTAACATAATACCCATCCTTTAAAAGTCAATTGCAAACGTTTGCTATGTTAAGAATTGGGATTGGGTGATTTCAAAAGTATGAGTGGGAAATTATCCGTGGGGACTAGTTTGACAGTCATTAAAATTTGGCCCTTTCAAATTTTACAAGCAAACCTAAAACCGAGTCAAACAAAAAACTTGATGAATTTAATAATAGATCATAGCCTATTGTTTGCAAGCATTGTAGTATTTATAAATCAAATAAACAGGGAAGAGTTTTTAAATAATGACTGCTAATCCTCCGGCCCTCCACACATTAACGGTGTTCTGCTGGTTCTCTCTTTTTTTAAATTAAAATAATTAAATAATATTTCGAGAAATTACAATATTGCCATGATAAAGGAGATAAACTCTGCCACTATTGTAGTGGACGTTTACAATTGCTGCAATAACTTTTTCAATGTTTCGGTCACTGTGCCAGCAATTCGTTCAATGCCGGTGGGCGTAGCCATCGTCGTCAGATCGTGCAGCAAAAAATTGGTACCAAAGTAGTAATATTTTAGGATATTTAATGTCAGTTCCCATACCTGAAGGCATATTTTTTTCTAGAATTTCCTTCAGATACCGACACATAATCACTACCTATATTTAATAAAGAAGTTGATTTAATTCAAATAAATACTAATACTGAATTAATTACATAATATTCTAACAATACAATTTTTGGTTTAGGCAACAACAAATTGAATTAAAAATACTGTATGGATATATAAGCTTTTAAAAACTGTTTGGAACAAAAAATATTCCTTACATTATTTTTAATTCAAACATGAATTATTCTCATGTACTTAACTATGATTTAGATGTACCAGGTTTTGTGGACAATTTCTTTTTCTTCTTCTTTTCTGAAGTATTCTCGACCTCTCCAAAGTCGTATCTAGCTTTGAGCCTCTCCCTGATGAGCAATCCTTTTATAAGTCGTTTCCAGTTGCCATAAACTCTCTGTTCAATCTTTTCCCGAGCTCTCTTAGCTGACTCATCAACATCCTGTGAAAAAGAAGTATTTTACTTGAGAAACGACAAACAAAAATTGAGCTCAGTTGGGAGGCACTAACAAACCTGTATCCATAGACTTCTTCTCTTATGTAAATCTGAGCTTAATTGCAGCTGCCGTAGTTTATTATCACAAAGAATATTTCAAAACAGAACATAAATAATAGGGGCCTTGAAATCAGCAATAAAAAAAGTGCACACAAAAATAATGTTACTTTAGATATATAGGTAGAAACAGATGTTTGTTAAGAAGGCCTTTAAAAAAAAAACAATTTTACTCAAGTACCTTATTCCATGCGTCCAGCAGGATATCTTTGAACTCTTCGCAGACAATGAAACCGTCCAACACTGGGTGACTTCCCCCTCCACTGAACTCCCAACCCACCACAGCCGGAGCACAGTCGATGTCTAGCTTGCGAGCAACTCTCCCTAGTCCAGGCACTGTCAGACAAAACATGGCTTTAGGCAGGATCTACCTTATACTCAAGTTGTATGTTAGGACCTACTCAAGTACATACAAGAATATTATGCGTAGTTAATAACACAGCATGGCACAAACACATTTATAGCACGGTGTAGAAACTGGCGACCGACCATGCTGTGCATGTATGCTAGATGTATTTGTGTCATGTAGGGAGCCTGTCCTGTCTTTGTACTCAACTGCTGACGCAACAACGCTTTAGTTAAGTACACCACTACCACCTGGCACCTGACCATGGAGTAATCTTCGAAATGGCCGTTAGTGCAGTAATACCTTGGAATTTTGAAGAAGGTAAGGACTAATTATACTTTTACACGCAATCTGCCACAGTCAAGTATCAGCTTAGTTTACCTTGCAAATGTACAGTTCCTGGTGGCAACATACAGGGCTTGTAGAGCTCAACATTGCCATACTCATTTCTTGGCACTTTACCATCCACTGCCGGGGGAGGGATGTAGTCTTCGACCTGCCAGTAGCCAAACAGTGGGAGGGGGAGGTCGTTGAGCCTTGCCCCACTTAACTGTAGAAGAAACAGTAACACATTAGATTAGATTTCTACACCAGCACGGTGACAAACCGGGGAGTGTACATTATTTTGTTGAAGTGTCGGAATGCCGATTGTATGAGATGACAGATTTGCTTATCAGCTGGTTTTTTAGCTAGATATGAGTTAGGAACTTTTAGCTTGATGATCAAGGACAATTGGGTCCACTTTCATATCTTCAAAAAGTTTATTTTTTTTTTTTTGATCCAATCGGGGATTTTTTGATTACCAAGCAAGCACTATATCCACTCAGCGACCTAGCTATATAACGATACAATGGGTTCTCACTTTTCAGCAGCACAGTGATGTGCGCAAAGTAAATTTGAGGTGAGAAAATTAAATTAATGTACTCAGGACCAGACCAACAGGGCCCAAATTTTGTTGGCATACTTTGTATGAAATTACAAGTTTTTTTATTTGGCTAAACTAAACAATAGTTTTGAATGATACTTTATGAATTACAAAGTATGCAGATTATAGTTAGAATTAGATTTGACCTCATTACCTTAGTGATAGAAACATTGATAAGAACTGCTTATGATATATTTCTCTTAACATAAAAACAAATAGTTTTTTGTATTAGTTTAAACCACATTTAATTTTTAAAACAAACTTGAACCCAGTTAAATTAATGACAAACATGGTACATTACTAAATCAAGTTTAAGTAGAGAGGATTACCGTATTACCGTATGAGTACAAGAATTGCCATATAGGGAAGTCAAAACCTATAGAGACGGACAGCAATTTTGCTGGCCCACGAAATATGTTGATCCTGTGTTAGTTGTCCTGAAGAAGGAAAACAAAGGGAGAGGGTTAATAGGAGGAGGGAGGTTGTGCATAAAAGTAATCTGTTTGTATCAACAAGTTTTCTATACCAAATTTCATGCAAAACGGAAAATAATGCTCTAGGACAGGTTGAAGAATTTAAAGTTAAATTACTGAATTACTTTGTCCAAAAATTGTCTTAATATAGTCTGAAAAACTAAAAGGTAGCAAAAAGAGAAAAACTAGAGGTGGGCCGATACCGATACTCGATACCAAAATACCAAGATACTTGCCTGTTTTGGGTTCAATACCGATACTGACACTGAACGCTTACGAATCGGTGCGGATTTAAGTAAGTTCAGAGCGGGTAAATTGCCGTCACGAATCCTAGCTGTTTGCCTACTTAGTAGAGACAACTTTATTGGATAGTTTTCAACTCCAGGGATAATATTTGTTTTGGTTGATCACCACTGCGAGCGCTAGTGGCCTTGTCACTTTGATAAACACGACCTCATTGGCTAGTTTTCCATCCAGAGACGATGTTCGGCCAATCACGAGTAATGTTATAGCGACGTGGATACTTGGTTTGGATTGAAACTTGGATTGTTGTTGAACGCCGTACCGAGTACTTGTGTCTTTACTAACTTATTAGAACCTTACTCATTGGCTGGTTTTGGATCGAAGGATGACAATAAACCAACCACGGTTAGCGTTTTAGAGATGCAGTAGTCCTGTTATATGTACGATTGCGGTGTGTTGCAGTTACAGTGTATGTCAAATGATCCATCCGTATGTTGACTGTTGAGGTTATTGTTATTTCACATTGGTTCTAATTTAATTTCTTTTGATTATAGTTAATGAATTATATAGTTTTTTATTTAATATGAGTAAGCGTAAAAGTGATGTGTGGGCCTTTTTAAATATTTTATTTGATTCCAGCTGTTATTACGATAGGTATCGGAAGTATCGGTATCGATAGGTATCGAGAGTACTTTGGTGGTACCGGTATCACTATCGACAATTTTTGGTATCGGCCCATCTCTAGAAAAAACAATATTTTGTATAGTTTGTTCAACTTGTTGCTTTTGAGCCAAAATACAATGGTCCAACTCTTTTAGAGCCAAAACGCTTTTTAAAAGCCTATGAAACATAGTTTTATTTTTATTTTTCGGCAAACGATTCTAGAATATATTAAACTCATAGATAAAACTCATCATTATAGTGGCATCCTATTTCCAAAAAACTCATTAAGTTATTTCTATCTTGGAACTGTACCTTGTCATATTTAGGCCTGGCTTTGACAATCTTGTAAGGTTCTTCACCTCGTCGCACTAGTTTAGCCTCCTTGATCCAAGTCTCCCGAGTGTGAAGCTCTACCACGCAGCCCCGAGAGTAGACAGGCTCGTCCTTGATGAACCCCAGTGGAGGGGCGTCTGGGGGGTAGATGGCCTGGAACTTGAGCAAATGTCGCTTCAACGCAAACAGTGGGTGGTTCTTGAAACTGCAAAGGATACAGTGCAAACTAAATGAATATGAGGTAAATGGGTATGAGGTAATCCAGGACGTCTAAAGATGATGTACGTCTAATGATGATTAATGAACTAAACTTAACAGTAATCCCCTCAAAACTGAGAGCAACTTGTCTTCAGGTTTTAAAATATTGGAAATAAGAATCATTTACAGTCTAACCTTGATATAACGAACCTCGATACAACGAATTCCTTGATATAACGAATTTTTTTAAATCCCCTAGAACTCTCCATAAGACACAATGAATATTTTACCTCTACATAACGAACAAACCATAACAACGACCTTGATTTAACGAATTTTTCGTGATTTCGGCTAAAATATGACACCTCAATATAGCGAATTTATCATTGTCAGAACCTCTACATTGCGAATTTCACCTCTGCATAACGAATTGTCTACGTCTTTCCCTCAATATAACAAATCCCCCAACCCATTATTGTTTTTGAAAAATCTGTTTCTTTATCAAATGAAATGGAAAGGTGACGTCATCGCTTGCGCTAACATTAATCTGCTCCGTTTTACACATCTCTGTCTGCTGTCGCTGCGCGCGCTAACTTTAACTTTTCTTTCTATCATGCTTAGTTTTGTTAAAATTTTAAGTTGAACAGAGCGACCAAATCTCAGTTTTATGGCGCGGCTCGGTGAGTAGCGCTGCTCGCAAGCTGTAGTGCAGTACAGTATCGCATAGCTAATAATTAATTAATGTAGGCCAACTGAACTATTTCAAGCAGGTTAATATGCCTTTTGGTTATCCACAAGAATATTACTTTTGTATCAAATACTGCACGACTTAATGTCTTCATAATTAAATACCGTACAGCCTAAAACAAAAATGCCTGTAGTTTTGGTTTAGTTACTACCTAATTTTGCTGTAGTTTATTATGAATTTGAAGTATGTGTTTTATTTACACGTTATTATGTAGTAATATGAGAAATAAAAATATAACTTCATTCATTCTGTTATTGCGCAACCATTAATAACTAATCCATCGATAATATTCTTGCAATAGACAATCAAAAGGGGGGCTACCGGAAACTTTTAATTTAGCGCTCATCAACCAATAGTGGCGTGGCGACCACCATCTTGATTGAATTAGGTGGAATTAGCAAATAACTAAAATTAGCGACAACATGTATAATTAGCGTGCAGATGTTCTTCTGTGATGGCTGGTTTTTGTGACAGTGTTTTTACATCAGATATCGATATTTCAGAAATAGCTGAAACTGTTTGTATTTGTGGAATACATTTGAAGGAAATAGTATCAATAATTATTTTGAGAATGAGCAATATTTTTGTTAAATATCTACACAAAAGTAAAAAAAGACAAAAATACTACTGTAATTATAGAAAATGTCAATCCTTTCTTGAATAAAATAATTTTATTTATTGCTTTTGATAATTTTTACTTTGTATAGTAAACGTCATCATATTCTAATGATAAAACAATGGCTTACATAGAAGCTGTAACTGAATAACATTTTAGATAGGATTTCAATTTTAAGTGTTTAACAATTAATAAATCATAGAGTAAATACGTAGAAGAGACGGAAGAAAACTACAATTATACGCCTAATACTTATAAACGTTCAATCATGTTCAAGTTCAATGTACTGTAAAAGGTTTTAATAAATATTGTATTACATTCTTATATTGACACGAAAGCCTCGTATAATTATTTACTTCTTTTCCTACACATCAGATATAAAACATCTAAATTAATAGATAATTTGCGTGCTTGTTCCAATCCTCCGCGACGTGAGCGCGAGCGTTGACTGGTGTGGTGTAGCGTAGCTTAGCCATCCAGCCATCCCATGCGGTGTTGCCACTTCGAACGCCGCGGCCTGTAGTTAAAGGAGGCCGTGGTAACTGTGGATAACGTTCAACATGTTTTTCTCTTAAAACCAACGAACGGTTAAGATTGACAACGAACATACATGGAAAAGTAAGTATTGTATACATCATTACAGTTTACAGAACACATAGTTGAATTGTGAGGAAATGGAAGGTACTGGAGGTAATGGTTCTCACTTGAAAACTTATTTGTAAACATTTCTTTGCATAAACTGAAAACCGTAAAGCTTGAAGATGTACTCACTCTGCTATTGATGACGGGAGTGGTTTATCATGAAGCTGTTTGTCCAGGTCGTAATCCTCTTCACGCTCCCGAGCGTTGTTTGGGGGTTTGTAAGGAGCCATAGTCTCACTCCACCATGCGTCGTCTGCACGTTGCCTACGTGTGACTGTAAGCCATTGAGGTGCGTAGCGACGTGTCACGTCTTTAATGGTGCCGTCATTGTTCCAAGCCAGTACATACCTTACAGGCTGAGTAGCCTTTTTCTGTAATCGTGATACAAAGTTTTAGATTAGTAAATTGAATGAATTAAAAACAAATATTCAAGCAAGAACATAAAAGTGTATCTTATTTTTGTTTGGTTGCATAATTTTACATTACAGAGTTGTTAATATTTCAGCTATCAGATGTCTATGGATTGTAATAAAAATGTTTTCTTAAATTATAAAATGTGTTTACAATATCGATTTAATAACTAAACCAAACTAACCACAACCGAGCAAGGCTCGGTCCCCCAGTACTCTAGTTTATCAGTGTTATAATTCCAAATATAGCAATGCAGTACTCACATACAATTGGGTGATGCAGTGAACTTTTCCTTTGTGCAAATCCACACTGATCCATTTTTCTTCTTCTTCAACAAATACTTCAGCCCAGTAATCGTATCCAATTTTATTTAATGTGGTATTTTCTTCTTCGTCTGTAGACAATACCCTACGATCTTTTGTTTTTGATGTAGATGGTTTTGATGGTTCAAAGTCTTTATCATTCCTAATTTTCTTATTTCCACTTTTTTTTATTGAACTTTCCTGGGAACTATTTTGAGATTTGACTTTTGTTACTCGAGGTTTTTGAAACACCTCATCATCACTACTTGAGTTTTGTTCTCGGAGGTGTACATTAGAAGACTTCCTATTGCGCTTTGATCTATTTGATGGAGTCTTTTCATTATTTTGTTTGGTAAAATAAGCAGACTTTGTTGTTGATGACATACCTTTCTCAGGTTTTGATTTGATGCTGTTCTTGTCTTTGGAAATTACTTTGTGGGGTGAAAAACTTGATGACTTTTTTCCTATACTTTTTCTTAATTCCGTCAATGGTAAGTCATCAGACGAACTAAAGTATGGTGACTTAATTTCTTCTTTTCCTTCAGATTTTTTTTTCTTATCCCCTTTTGCAGTTGTGGTATTTTTTGGTGCTGTACCACCCGAACGGTTAATAGACTGGTTAGTTTTGTTCGATGTGATATTTTTATCTTTACTTGAGGCTTCCTCTTTAGGTTTATTACTCAGTGAGCACAAATCAGTAACTGGAGGGCGTAATGGAACTGACCTTAAATTTATCACAAGTCTGACATTAATTCCTAAAGATCGTAGTAAACATACAAAAACTAAAACTAAATCTCTGTGAGACGATGTTTTTTTAGAATTTATAATTATTTCCAAAACCTCTCCAAGGTCCGCATCCGACCTCATTTTCAGATCTTGGCTCTTTTCTATGATCACTTTGCCAACAAACCATTCAACTAATTTCTCTAAATATCGTAAATCCATATGTTTTTTGGGGTAGCAATGATTTGAGGGAATTAAGGATAGTGCAAGAGCCATTAAAAGTTCATTGTTTACACAACGATTTAAATAAATTCCATGTGCTATCCAACAAAGAGTATGGACTTTATGCATAAAAATCTGATTCTCTTTCCTAATTAGGTTTATTCTTCTTTTCAAAGCAGCTTCTACATCTACTCCTTTCTTCTTTCTTATTTGATTCATGTTTGGAAGTTCAATTGTTACTTGTACACCGTCTTTTGGCACAGAATAGTTTTCTTCAATTTTTATTTCTTCATTGCCTACACCACTCTCTGAATCATCTGAATCATCTTGTGCAACCGCACCCTGACCTTCTGCAATTGCCAGAAGATCAGATATTCCAAGTTCTTCTCCAATTGATTTTAAATCAGGCTTATTACCTATAATTGGTTTTTTATTTGTTTTGGATGTTTTACGATTTAATTTCTTTTTTCCTAAAGGTGAAACAGATTTGCCTTCATTTTTGCGTTCTCCATCTTCTAGTTCCCTTTTCGTACTCTTAATGAGTTCTTGAGACTTTATTATTTGAGAAAAGTCATAAAATTCTTGATCTCCTGTCTTCTTTTCAACATCTGAATCGTCACTCAATGTAGAGACTGCTGAGTTTGTAAAACTAGGTTTATTTTCACTAATAGACGGTTTATTGCTCTTTTTAAGAGTTTCAAAACTTCCTAAATCGTCTAAAGATATGGGAGCTTTCATGAATTCATCAGAACTACTTCCATCACTATCAGATTCCTCTTCTTTCATGGTGTTTATTGATTTATTTTCAAAAGATGAATCTTGACTGTTACTGTTTTCAGGTCTTTTATTTTCATTCATATCAAAAGTGGGGTTTAACTCAGAACCACTATCATTTTCTGTATTGAAATACTTGCTTTTTTTACTTAATTCAAGTTTTGGTTTTTTCTTTTCACCGTCAGGAGGTTCGTCTTTGGATGATTTTGGTGAAAAGCGTTTGACGCCCTTTCTTGTTTTCACCATTTTTTCTGCAAATAAAATGAAGGTTTTTAACACCTAAGAAACACCAAACCTTGGAATTTAAAAAAAGTAAGGGTTATGTTTTAGGGGAGAGTAGTTGGAGTGACATTAACTAGAAGTAATCCAGCAGGGCAAGCCTAATTTTTCACTGGACTCTTAGATAACGCACAACAACAAGTATGATGGCATGGCAAAAGAATGGGTGGCTAGCTATTTACTGCTGTCCTGGGCCCTTTTCTTTGTATCCTTTTTACTAATTACTTTCCTGGTTTTATAAATGACAACAACATTAAAACCATTATGTACACAGATGACACAAAAGTACTTTTAAGAAATGACACTGCACAAGAACTACATTCAGATATTCTATTATCAACAGACAAAGCCCAACGATATTGCCTAAAAAATGACTTGGTTATAAACCCTTCTAAGACGGTACAGATTAATTTTAATAGAAGAATGGAGTAACTTACATACCTGAAACCCCTGATATTTTAGTAAAAACAAAATTTAACTCCTGGGTATTACTATTGATGCTGATCTCTCTTAGACAAATAATTTAAACAACTTAAAAAAGAAGCTTTCATCAGGATCCGTGTGGTGAAAAGGGATGAAATGGACTGCAAGCAGCTAAGGCAGTGACTATGAGAGGAAATGCACTAAAACAGGGACTGCCAGACTGGCTGGTGGCAGGGCCGATTTACCAAATAGGAACGGTAAATTGGCTTTTTTGGGGGGCACCAAAAATTTGGAAAATAAAAAATAATTCCGATAATCCTTCGCGGCCATGTAGACATCGTAATCGTCTCCCGCGTTTGTGACAAGATTCTTACTACTTTTTTCCACGGTTTAAAAAAAGACATAATTATCACCTTCCACGATCAAGGCCATCAAATCAAATCAAATCATCAAATCAAAATATCCTTTATTCATTTAAGTACATTGTACAGGAATAGAGTCAGATCTTACAAAATAAAATGTTTTACATTTAAGAACTAATAATAAGACAGAATATTTATTTTATTTGTTTCTCCCAAAACTCTTCAAGGGAATAAGGGGCAATTTTAAACAAATACTGTTTCAGACAATTTTTAAACTTTTTTGTATTTAAATATTTATATGAACATATCCCGCGGTCGTGAGGAGATTATTATCGTCTACCGCGAATGAGGCATAATTCTAACCTTGTCCCGCGATTGTGTGGCCATTATGATCGTCTTGTGCTATCGTGATAAAAATTCTGATCACCCCTCGCGGCCGTGAAGACATCATTATATTGTCCCCCGCTGTAGTTTAGGCATAGTAATTGCCTCCCGCAATAGCGGCAAAATTGTAATCATCTCCCGCGGACATATGGAGATAATCGTCTTCCGCGAATTAGGCAAAATTCTGATCTTTTCCTGCAGTCATGTGGGCATTAACATCGTCTTGAGCGATCGCGGCATAATTGTGATCATCACTTGCTTTCGTGTAGAAATCATTATTGTATCTCCCACAGTCCTATATAGACATCAAAATCGTCTCCCGCGGTCATGAATACATGGTAATCGACTCCCGCGATTGCGGCAAAATTTTGATCATGTCCCGCAGTTGCGTAGAGATTGTCTTCATCTTCCGCAATCGCGGCAAAATTCTTGCTGTTTCCTGCGGTCGTGTGGACATTATTGTCGTATTCCGTGATAGTGGCAATATTCTGATCATATCTCGCGGCTCTGTAGATATCATCATCGTGTTCTGCGATCGTGGAAAATTATGATCATCCCTCGCGGCCGTGTGTAGACATATTATCATCTGATATGTTACACACTTGCAAGACAGTAGTCAAAATAATTTAGTTAGTTAATAATTTCTGTTACGGTTCACTCTCAGTTGCATCCGCAATTTCCCAGACAACCTGTCAGTCATTTGGTTTCAGTTACTCTTCCGCCACTTTATTTACAGTGTTGTTACAATCAAAAATGTTTAATTAAAGCACGATATTCTATCAAATTTTCATCGTCCGTCTTGTATATTTTTACAAACATTCCTTAAAATATAAACTCCATCATTTAAATAAAAAAGTACTATTTTCTAACCTCAAACACACCCGTCAGGCTTCCGAACAATCCAAAAATATCGGTGAAAAGAAATCTATAATCGACTGACAGACGCCGGCAGTGACTGACGGCACTGTTTTGTAATGGTTGAGTGTAGATAGGGCAATAGAAAATCCATTGAAGAATGTTTTTGTTAACTGCAACGCCTGAAGTGACTGGTTTATCACATGACGTAACTGATGTGTGGGAATCAACCTTTAGTCAACAAAAACTGTTGCAGAGAAATCAGCAAAATGCATGTAAATATACTGAGTCCGTTGAATTATTGGCAAAACTTTGATGCCTGACTCCATCGCATTATTGAACAGTAATTATCGATAACCAAACCCTAACTTAAACCTAAGTTAAGAATCCATAATACAATGTAGACGAATATCAGTTTTGCCATATCATTATTAAAACAAAAAAAATATTACGATCTATGTTACCTCTATCCTTAGGATTTGAGAACAACAAAATTCAAATTAGATAGGCCTATGTGACAAAGAAAAACCTACCCGTAAAAAGGTAACCTAATGATTGCAGGGTTAGTGATCAATAACATATTTATCATATTTTTACTACAATTAAAATTGAAGGATGTAAAAGTAACTTACCTTAATAAATTAGGCCTAGACACTAAAAAGTGGTGGTCGCTAAATCAATCACTAACAAGACAACAAAACGTGAGATTGAGGTTATGCAACCAACCAATCGAAAACAATAACATTCATGAAAGGAACGACTCGAACCTCGAACGAAACGAAACGAAAGCGGCCAAACGCCAAAGCAGGCTTACAGTCTTATCTCCCGGGAACCCGGGAAAAACTCTTTTATCCTGACATAGAGTATGTTATTTATATTATTGTTGTACTCCTACATAAACGGTTATCAAAATTATTGTGTAGCGTCTATTTTAAATTTTAATCTTTCTTGTGCTGTACGTAATTACATGAAAAATGTTTTAATATAAGATTTAGTTTTTAAAATTAATTGTATCAGAAAAAATGTAACGTAAGAATGCACGAGATCCACGTCACACAAAAAGCAATTCCTTAAGTATTGAGTTGGGTAAAATGTTTTGTACTTGAAGTTGTCCTGAAGAATGTATTACTTTTTATGCTGCAATGGGAACAATAATCAACATGACGTAATAAATGGCCAAGGACCCCAGACACGGGCCAGCCTTTAACTCCAGGCTACAGCCATTGAAGTGGAATGTCACAAGTAGTTTTTTTACAGCTGTCACAAGTAGTTTTTTTTTACAGCTGGTTTGTTTCGATGCAGCGCAGCTAATGGTATTTTTTTGTAGAATACGAAAGCTTGTTTGCTGGGCTAATGAAAATATTGACTCCACAGTCCACATTAAATAAATGTACAAAATGTAGATTTTCAATTCATATTGTTTTGGTTTCCAATTATATTTGTTTATTTTCAATATTTTAATAAATGTATTTTAATACATTTCAATTTAAATAAATAATATGCGAATAATTGAACTGGTGTCACCTGTCCGACGGGATGTTATGGGACGCCTCTGGCTCTTATTTTGAACTACAGGATCAGTTATGAAAACAAAAACCGAAAAACCCCTGGAACACAGTTAAGTGTGCTGTAGGAAAATGTGGGATTTATGGGCCATCTTTCTTTGAAGAAAACACATCTGTTAATTATTCTGCACGATGAACATGATAAAAGACGTTTTCATTCCAGAACTTCAAGGGTAGAAAATCGACAAAAAGAACATGGTTTCAACAAGGGGCCAATGCCCCTGCTGCTTACATGGCCAATGCCTCTCTATGGCAGCAGTTTGAGTTTTATTTCCAAGACATATGACCATGGTTTGGTGATGTTTTGTTGCCACCACGTTCACCGGACTTGTCAATGAGTGACATTTCCCTGTGAAGTATCTGAAATGAAATGAAATGATTTATTGTCGTTAAAACTATGTACAAAGTTCATGACAATCGTCAAAAGAAAAAGAAAACAATCAAGATGGCTCTGGCAACTAAAATATCTAAAACTGTAAACCAAAATACTCTTCATGTTTATACAGGCAAGCCTGGGTTAGAGTAGTTTTTAAAACATGTTTGAATTTTAAAACACACAGGTTTTTGATGGATGCAGGCAAAAAATTGTACATTTTAACACCTTGGTACTCAAAACTATTTTGAGTGGCTGTATACTTATGCCTTAGTTTAGACAGATTGTCTTTAGATCTAGTACAATAGTTGTGAACATCAGATATCTTTTCAAAGTGAGAAATGTTTTCTTTTACAAACAACAAACTTGCCAAAACATACAAGGATGGAAATGTGAGAATGTTAAGACCCACGAAAAGGGGCTTACAATGTGTTCTTCTATTCACACTACAAATTAACCTCACCGCCTTCTTTTGTAAAGTAAAAAGCAACCTGTTAGCATAAGAACTGTTGGCCCACAGTAAGGTACCATAGGACAAATAACTATGAATGTGAAGACACATGTTTGCAAAGAAAAATCACGTAAGTACTCACGAAGAATTAAAAGCTACAATCAGAAGCCAAATTGAATTTAACTAATCAATGAATAGTTACTTGAACAAAGAGGAAATTTTTAAGCAAGGAACAGAAAATGTGTGTCTGTTTCAATAGCATCAGTTTTAGTGATGCAATTTTCAAAACTTAATAAATAGGGTATTTTATTTTGTAAATGGCACAACTTTTCTTTCATTCCTATGTTAATAAAACTGTTCTATGTTTAAACCTTTAAAATGAATATGAATTTAAAATTAATCCGTTTCCTGTGAACAGTGTGGACCACCATAAGGAGGGGGGGGGGGTTATAGGATAAAAATTTTGGTTTCTCATTTTTTTACTATAAAACATGACGTATAACCACATACAATAGAATATGTAATGGTTCACTCTACAGACTGTGGTATAACTAACTTTATGTGTAGTTATATTTACAAAGCAGAGCGATTGTTTTTACAATAAACGGAACATTTTCTGTTGTAAATACATATAGTGCAGGAAAAAAGTGTAAAATTTAGTCTAATAGTGGAATTTTAATTTATCAGGCTGAAAATTGGTGGAGATGTTGTACATACAGCTGGGAACATCATACTAAAATTCCCAAAAAATCCCACTTGGGCAACATGCCGCCATCTTGGAAAATGGCCGCCATAATGGATTTCCCCCCTTGTGTCACATATTCAAGCATAAAACCACTCCTAATTGTGATAAAAACGTGCAGTTTCTTCACAATTATTTGTCGGGATGTTATTAGAATACTTAGAGCCAATGTAAATAATTGTATATAGTAATTTAACATTTTTATGCAAAAAATAACCAACATTTTCTTTTTAAGTAATACTAGTCTTGGATTCAAAATTGATTTAAGACCTCTTTTACTCATCGGGAGAAAAACTTACCAGCATAAATTTTTTCGAACAGGTCAATATGCACAAGAAAATGTAATAATATTAGTTTTTGGTCTATAAGTATGTCGTCATATTGACGTTGAACGTGCGATTGCAGCCTAAGTTTTAGACCGTGTCTTGTGGAGACTGTAATATTATGCTGTAAATGAAACGAGTTCGAATGCAGCATGCTGAAGTGAGGGGATATGTTTCCACATTAAAACCCTTTAGGAGATCAGACAAGATACAGTCGCATTTAGCCATGGGAAATGTGGTCGTTGTGCGAGGTGAAACTATTCCTATTAGCCAAAATTAGCTAATCTATCAAATTATGTGTCTTGTCCGTAATGATTAACAGTTGTAGACATGTTTTGAATACGAGTTGGCACCATTACCAACAGTATTATTCAACGATGGGACCAATAGAAAACCCAACAAGGCTGCGTTAAGGACCATGAGGGAGAAAATTGTGTCCTCCTACGGATTGTCTTCCACTAGCTCCAAACCTTGTGATAGATGGTGGGCATCTTCTTCACATGGTAGTCTGGCAAAACCCGGCTATTTTCTCTGACATTTTTGTAAGGCGTACCAGACATGCATTGTAAAACATTACGGAAATCAAGTCATTGTTGTTTTCGACTGATTCCAGGAAAGTACGATGAAGGATGTAGAACACGTTAGGCGAACGTTTAAAGCGACATCTGCCGAAGTTCTTGTTGGTTCTGATGTGCAAGTGGTATCCCAGCAGCATCCATTCTTAGCCAGCGCAACCAACAAAACAAGGCTCATTGATCAATTAGTAAGTCATCCAAACAGAAACTGAATACAAGCGGTCCATGCGAAAGCTCATGCAGACTGTCTAATTGTCCAAACAACCATCCTACTAGCCAATGAAGAAAAAACTCTGCAATGTCCAACAGAACACTGAGGCATTCGACCTGTTATTGACCCTTACTGACCTTGACAAAAATATCTTAATGCTCATTTCACTTTCAAAAGCTCATTAGCAAAAGATATTTTAATCCACAGCACTGCAAAATAGTATGGAAAATGCATCTTGTTTTCCTGCATTCTATGTCCGGTTGTGATACCACGTCAGCAACCTACAGGAAAGGGAAGATACAAGCATTCAATGTTCTGGAGAAATCACCAATTCTTTGCCAACCAGTGTATGTGTTAAATCGGGCGGAATCCACACAGATGGAAATCGTAAAAAGCTGGATAGGAATTTCTTAAAGCCCTATATATCGAGCAAAAAGCGGTCAGGGACTCAAAAGAACTCGATACAAACAGTACCTGAAAGTAATATCAAAACGTCTTGACTTTTAATTTGACCTTTCAACACTTGTACCAACTTCTGAAGCTGCTAGAGAGCACAACCTTAGAGTGTACCACCAGGGTCAAGAATGGCTAGGGGTTTCTCTTTCATCTACAGAGTGGGGATGGAAAAAGAACGAAATAGGTACATTTACTCCAATTCCTACTTCAATGCCCCTTTACCTGACAACCTACTCAACTTGATAAGATGTGCATGTAAGACTGGATGTAACAGGTATTGTGGGTGTCTGAAAATGGGTTATCTTGTTCACGATTGTGTATCTACTGCACCAACGGTTGTGGTCACGGGATCAATGCCACATCAGTACTAAATTAATGAAGAAGGGGACATTAATGTACCTGATTTACCAACCCAGTTCCGTTCTGACCGGGAAGTCAACAAAACCGACATGCAAATGATTCCATTCCACTTTGCAGCAAGAGGAAAAAGTCACATCGAAGAAATCGTTTTTATAACTCACAAACTTATTAATTGTCAAACAGAATATATTCAGCTTTTTTGGAGTTTATATGAAAAAGAAAAATATTAGGTATCAAATAAAAGTAAGTTATAAAAGTAATACTAATACAACTGTTTATTTACTATAAGTAATTTAATTCCATTTACATAATTTTATTACAGTCACTACCATGATGCTGTCTAAAACGTAGGCTGCAATCACATGTCCAGCGTCAATATGACGGCATACTCATAGACCAAAAACAAATATAATGGCATATTCTTGTGTGCCTTGACTTGTTCTATAAGATTTAATCAGAGAAGTTCTATCCCCGATGAGTTAAAGAGGTCTTAAATTAATTTTGAATGCAAGACCAGTATTTCCCTCCAATTATTTTTGTTTAATTCTTAGGATAAAAATTAGCAATTTCCATTCAAAACTATATATAATGGCACTAAATATTTTAATTACATCCCGACAAATAATTTTGAAGAAACTGCCCTTTTTTATCACAATTAGGAGTTGTTTTATGCTTGAATATGTGACACAAGGGG